CAAAGGCTCGCAAAGATGTTGCAAGAGTAACTGGTGCAAGAGTAACCAGGTCTCAGGCGGTACAGAAAAGAACAACACATCTAGCCAATGCTGTTCAACGTGTGTTATCACAACATACCCAGAGAAGTCAGGATAGCAGAGGTGGGGATAGCTCGACCCCAGTCCCGGAGATGCGGGCGGGCATTGACCCAACCATGGATGATAGTGACATGGAAGTACTTGATGGGACAGAAGCCTCCGAACGACACCAAGAAATGGCGCTGGTCATGCGTACTTCAACGGGAGGGTCAATCGAAAGACCTCCAAACGAGGTCTCGTCGGGTTCAGGCCGAGAAGTGAGGATAATCGCAAGCCCGATGAAGACGGCGGGGCACACATCAGAAATCGCTAGTCCCTCGTTAGACACGGCCCACAGTATGGGAGTATATGAACGACCGATATCACCTTTCAAAGAGCTCTCAAGCGCTACGCAGGATGATTGCGGCATTTTCGCAGTCAATGAGACGATGGTTACTCAAGAAGGAGGCTGGTTAAGCACAACGCCACCAGCACATCTTCAGGGACATATTCTAGCTGAGAGAGACGCTGGTATAGCAGACCATACGGCCCAACTCGAACTGGCCGTTCGGAATATGAGTGACGAACTTGTAGAGAAGAACCGGGAGCTTGCAGACAAGGATTGGGCACTTGCAGAGAAGGATCGAGCAGTTGCAGAGAAGGGAAAGGCACTAGAAGAGAAGAATCGGGCGCTAGATATCGAACGGCACCGCGCGGACAGCTTGAGTGATACGCAGAATAAGCTACAACAGATGCTGAGCCAGTTGCATGAAAAAGCCGAAAACGCACGACAATGCGAGCAAATGGCAACTGACAAAGCATCCTGTCTCGAGACCCAACTAAAACAGCTACAAGAGCATGCTCAGCGGGATCTTGATGTTATGAGGAGTAAACTGGAGAGTGACATGAAGGAAACATTGGATTCGCGTGAAACCAAGCACAAGGAAGACCTTGGCAATATCGAAGCGGATTGGAAAGGAAAGCTCTGCGAGACGAGCTTCTACAACATTCAAGCGGCTTTACTAGCAACGGAGATCATAACAAAACTCATATCAGACGTTCGTCGCCTTGAAAAGGAAAAGAGTGAAGCCAGAAAGAGGTCCGATACGCGAATAACGGAACTAAAACGGGAGCACAGCGATGCTCAAGCGAAGTTAGTCCACAATATTGGACTTGAGGTTAAACGCCTTTATCCGTACATTAAGTCAAAACTAGACACGTCGCAGGAAATCTGCAAGATTCTGAAAGAAGAGAGCTCAAGACACAGGAATATGCTACGAGAGATCGCTGGCAATAGCCTAGATAAAGTGGAATTACATGCAAGAGATGGAGACGAACTCGTAGCGCGAGTCATGGTGTCTCTTCGAAACATGCAAGATAGCGTTCGCGCTGCTACTGAGGCGACCGCCCATGGTAGACTGGAAGAGCACGTGCGCGAAATTACAAGGCTGACTAATAACGAACAGAAGCTTCTGGACGAGGTTGAAAAGCTCCGTAGAGAGCAGGCCTCCACTTCAAAACTGGAAAGCCAGTACCAAGCAAAATTAGAGGAACTGGACAATGATCGGCAGCAGCTCCTCCTAGAAAGAAATAACGCAAAGAGCTCTCTAGACACTATCTTTGACCAACTGGACATAGATTTGTCTTGTAGGGACTCTACTGGGGAGGAAGATGCAGCTGCCCTTGTTGCATCGCGGGTCAATGAAATTCAACACCAGTGCGCTGTGTCAATACAGGGTGAGCTTGGAACAGTAGAAAGCTCTCTTGATGACATTATTGCTCGGCATAAACCAGTCTCATCTACAATCGAGATAGCAAACGAAGATCGCACTCCTAGGGATCGCTTGGCTAATCGCGTGATTCAGATCGGCACAATATGTGACGAGCTCAAACTGAGTAAGGAGATACTTGCAGAAGAGTGCAAAGGTTTGACAGAGGCCAGCAAGAGCGTCCAGCGAGATGAAGTGAGTCAAGCTGCGCAGGAAGGAAGAAAAGAAGTCCTTCACAACATTCAGCAACAGGTCTCAAAACATGCCGCACATGCGATTTGCGCCGGCCGGTTTGATAACGAAGAAGAAATTATTCAGCACTTGATCAAAACAGACCATAACCTTCAAGAGGAGATCTGGCATGTGGATGAGTTCCTCGATAACGTGCTCACGGGGGCGGGCGTGGAGCAATATATTGTTCGTGATATTGCGACTCTAGGAACTAGGAAAAGTAAGTTAGAGCACCTGGCTACAGTGTACGATCGTTTGTGCCAGTCAAACAAGGAACACGATACTATAAAGCGGCCTCAAAACACAAAGGAAATTTACGAGTTGAGTCCTACCAACAACGAACAGCATTGTAAGGATGTACGCTTGGCGCCAATAGAAAGTGAGGCAGAGAGTACCTCCATGCACCAATCAGAGGAAGTCGCGAGGTCCAGGGAGCCGTCCTGTGAGATCAATGTAGCGTCGAACGAGCACGACCAGGAACCGGAAGACACATGTATATTGTCCTGGGCAGGTGCATGTAATGAAGAGGAGTCAATTGACAGCAAAGACTTGGCGGGAGACAACACTCGCGCCGAAGCGATTCTCGCCGATGTTGGAACTCTCAAAGCCAACTTCAACATCAGAGAGGCCGGGAAAGCCGATGTCGAAACCATAATGGCAATAGAGTTATCAACAGAGGAGATACGCGACCTCCGATCAGCAGTATGCAAGTGGCTATCCGAGTGGCTATCCGAGTGGAGTAAGCAGCAGGAAGAGTCGTACGCAAGGATGAACAGTGAGCGAGTCAGTCTCCATAGTATTGGGCGTGGGACAGCTCGGTTCATGATGCATGGGACGGAAGTCACTTGCCTCAAGGATGATGCGAAACAACTCAAACCACCGTCAGCCCAAGTGCAGGCGGGCAGTGACGTCGAAGACGCGGTCAAAAAGCCAATTACTAAGTTTGCTAGCACACAAGAAGCCTGGGTCTTCTTAATTCAGAGCGAGATAAGGACCTTATCAACGAGGATATTAGATATAGAATGCGACACTACACGAACAGAGGGGAATGGTGCTGAGATGCAGAGAGTGATTCAAGAACTTGGCCGTTGGCATGACCACTTTCGAGCCCTTTCGGCCTACATAGTGACTCGGACGAGCGGCGCTATCAAGAAGGATCAAGAACATAAATGCGGCTATTGCAGACTTACAATGCATACTTACCGTAGATGTATAGACCTCGCTGAAGACAGAAGAAAGAAACGGGAAAATTGGCCAAAGGGTAGTCGTCGGCGACCTGGATAGTGCCTTGGTAGTTTAAGCGGGACTTCCAAGATAGAAAATGAATGGCCAGTAAAGATGACATGCGTCTGTTCGCCACAACTCGGGCATTCTAGGAGTGCTCGTCGCTGCTAAAGTCTGTGTTGCACCCCCGGCAGGCTGCGAGAAGAAAAAGGAGGGTTATCACCCAGCCGCCATTTCGTCCCTCGGTCGTGAATGGCCGCCATTCCAATCTCAGCGCCTTCTTCCTCTTCTCTCAGCTTCCCTTTGAGGATAACCCTCGTGAAGTTTGGTTCGACGACGACTGCATGCAAGCTAGCACGGGTATTTTAGACGATCTGTCAACCACTTTCGGTATCTTTTGTTGCCTTTAGCATACCTTTAAAACCAGCCTCTTTGAACATATATACTACGTACATCGGCGCAATTCTAGGTTCCGCAACGCTTCCCGCGCGAACTACTGAGCGGCAGACATTGTCTGATCTGCCTCCCTTGCTGCTATAGCATAAAATATCGCAACGGGATGCGTCTACAGGCACGGCACTTCTATGATTAAGGCGGCTACTGCCAGAACATCGACGCTTGTTATGCGCCAGATACTATGATATCTTTTGTGACTGTGACCCTGTATAGTGGCAAGCTCACAATCTACAAATTTAACAGCGGTGAGCCGGACATGAGCACCTTCCATAGCTGGGGTCACTTTTCGCAGGTCGTTTGGACATAGACCACCGCCGTCAGGGTTGCTATGGACAATTATTTGAGCATGCCTGGAAGACTGAAGAACGCTCGCGGTGGTGACTCTTTGGAACACTTGACTGTGTGCAGTTACCCACCATGGGGGAATTATGGTGGCTGGCTCTGTGAAACGAGTCAATGTGTCGCTTGTTCATCCTTCTGTGCTCGGAAATTATGATTATTGAAGGTCTGCAAGCTGCGGATGGCAGCCAATGAGCATAGGTTGTTTTACTGGGCTTGAAATCAGAGTAAAGACTATGAATCAACATAGATATGGACATCTATCGCCTTGTACAGTATGGTTGACCATACTTTGAATGGGGAGTTGAATGGGGACACTAGAATTCACAGGTCATAAAATGCATCGAGGTCTGTTAGCGAAGCTCTCGGCTCTAGTGAACTTCTCTAAAGGAGGCCTTAAGCTGACGAAATAGCAAGACTCCTGTCCACCCTCGGCCAGCCCCTGGAAAGGTCGTCCGACGGGCAGAATAATCACTCCATTATGTCGAGTGGTCTTACATGATAGTCCAGATAGACTGCGACAGATTGCGCAGTGCAGCACTGTGAGATAGCTGGGATACTAGGACGTGGTTACATAAAGTTCGTCTGCTTCGATGTTCAGGTATCAATGTGCTCGTCTTGCAAGTGCACGATATATGTCTTAATAAAGTGTACTATGATTTATATCAAAAGCGCTTGAAAATGGGTGAGTTTCAAGTTTATACTATAGCTAAATTAAGTTGTCCTGTGGAATCATTTTGGACCATTCCACAAATTTTGTTTAATAGACTCGAGATGATCTTTAATAGATTTGGCTCCATCGACCGCAGCCTCGCCCAGCTTTGGATCATATTCACGACAGGTCACAATCTTATTAAAGGGCTCCGCCTGTTTCTTAATGTACTTATTGTAAGTGTTCTCATCGTAAGTGTACTCATCGTAAATTTACTGATCGTAAGTGTCCCCATCGCAAGAATTCCCCTCCGGCTCCTTAGGGATGGTTTGTAGTTTCCGCAAATGTTGTTTAATATACTTGAAATGTTCCTTAATGAAGCTGGCTCTATCGACCGCAGTCTCGCCCAGCATTGGATTATATTCATGAAAAGTCACAATGCTGTCAAATCGCTTTGTCTGCTCCTTGATGTAATTATCACCGTCAGTATCCTCCCCTGAATCCTCGGGGATGGCTTGTAGTTCGGGTATTTCAATATCCATGAGTTTGGCGACCCCCAAAAATTGTTTCGATATTTCTCTGTATGGGCCTTCCATTGTTGAGTTATACACACTTTCGTATGTCCCCTCGAACGTTCGTTTTCTCAGTCCTTCATAAACCCCATTGTAGATTTGAGTATAATGCGTGGCCATTTTCTGCCATGCTTTTGGCTTCCCATTCGGATGAACTTTTGCTGCTATAAGGAAATCAGAATCCTTCCTGGGCTGAAATAATTGTAAAGACTTCATCATAGTACATACCAAGAACGAGATAGCGACTTCTCGCGTCGGAGAACTCTACAAACTCGTCGAAGCCGAGGTTCTGGAGATGGGCCATAATCCTATAACTTCAGACTGCGGTCCGCTAGATACTGCTGCAAGTAACTCGTAAAGCACCATGAATATATAATGGGATTGCGCTTACAAAGAGTCACAGGTCTTACATATGCGGGCAAGTAACAATAGAGCATCTAACATATAATCGAATCATTTGGCGGCTGACGTGTCAACAAACATTGTCGCCCCGATATGAGTACGATGACACTGTGACCAATATATTTGGGACGGCTGCGAGAAGACTTTGTAAACAACCGGTAGCTCCGCTTTTACGACTGACGTAAATCCACAACAATATTCAGGCGCATCAGTCTGACATAAAATGTACTGTACTGTAACCCTATGTCTTAGTACAGCGGTGGCAGCGACGTGGAAAACCCCGCAGCTTGTCTAAAGGCTCCCCATTTTTGCAAGGGGGAAAAGGCGTATCGTCTATGGTCGAGAACTGTTGCGCCGCGCCTTGGTTCATTTGGTGGTACTCCTCAGAAACGTCCCCACGCAGATGGTTAATGTAAATAATGATGAGCGGGTTATCAGCAAGTCAACCGAGATTAACAGCTGAAAAAGGCTGCCCGGTAGATGATCAAGAGTCCGGGCGAAATAGAGAGTATCTCGTGACCTTCCTGTCTCTGGTGGCCTTACAAATATGAGAGGCCCTGGATGGGGCGTGCGCATCAGACAAGAGGTATTCAGCGTCTTGAAGCTAATACGAGGTCTTCTCGGTTGACGAGCTGTTGCGGGCGCCGCGCCCCTGTCCTCGCACCCCAGAGCCGTCCTCCATGATTTCAGATGAAGCGTCGGTTCCCTTGATTATTTTTCACACGTTTGCCGCGTTCAAGTACAGCTAGGTTCAGGTTCAGCGTCTCTAGTAACCAGTCGGAGAATAAAGGAAAGTGGAGCCTTGAACAGTGCCGAGTGATCAGGATTAAGTACCCTGCTATGAGAAACCTTAGCAATAGCTATTTTAGGCGCCTGTGATTATGACTCACCGATCCCCACTCGGGCTCCACAGCCCATCAAAACTGCCCAAGCGACGTTCTTCGCCTCTCTCGCTTTCTCAACCTCCACATACCGCTGCTAGGACGGCTGTAGCGGGAAATGGCTCCACGACTCTCCGACTCTCAACACGAACTGGTCGAATCCATGATCCGCCGAAGCTTCACAAATGAAGCCATAGCCAATGCTATCTCTTGTACAACGCGCGCCGTCAGTCGAGCACGAACAACCTACACACGATATGGAACCACGAGAATGCCATGCACACGAACTGGTCCTAATCCGAAGATCACGCCTTCGATGTTAATGGCACTTTGCCACAAGCTCGCAACCGAACCTGATATGACTAGACATGACATGGTGGAGTTCTTTAGTAAACATTTTGATGAGGATGTATCGGTGACCAACATCACTCGTGCTTTAAAAAGGGGCAACATGACTTGGAAGACAATGCGTCGTGTGGCCGAACAGCAAAGGCCCGAGCTACGACACTTCTACCAGTACAGGCTCAAAAGACTTGGATGTCGATCATATCATCTGGTCTTTATTGACGAATCTGGATTTGATAAGCCAGCTATGTTTCAACGAAAGGGTTGGGCGCCGGAAGGCGTCACTCCTGTGCACAGAGCAAGGTTCCAGCGCGGACCCAGGCTGCAGCTCCTTGCAGCATATTCTCAGAAGGGTGTAGTGCTGTCCCGTTTCTTGCATGGGACTGTGGACAAGCCCATCTTCGAAGACTTTGTAGAGCAGCTGCTCCGCCACTGTGGCAAATGGCCAGAGCCTGAGACCGTCCTTATAATGGATAATGTTTCATTCCACTACTCGGAGAGGATTCGACAGATGTGTGAGGACGCTTCTGTGAAGTGGGACTTCATTGCACCATACAGCCCGAGAACTAATCCCATTGAGGAGTTCTTCGGCGAAGTGAAGACACATATGAAATCACAACGTAAGAACCACCAAAGTTTCATTCAGAGAGATTTCGAGGGGTACGTGAAATCCTGTGTCAAGACGGTAGGTAGTAGACAAAGCAGTGCTGAGGGCCATTTCCGAAACGCTGGGATTTACGTAGAAACTTGTTCTTGAGAAAACATTGAGCTCGTTCAAAGAGAAGTCACTCAATCTACCGTGATTTCATCTACCCATTTCTGCACCCCCCAGCTCACAAATCGAGCGGCAACGCCTTCCAAGACCCCGTTCGCGACTAGCATGTTTTGCCCCTCCTTCTGATTGGCGTGCAGCCATTTAAGATCATATCCTTTAGCCACAGTTACCTCGCCCGCCAGCTTTGTCGCATCTCGCCAATGCTGATTGGTGACTCTAGCGCTTAGCCAGTGAGCATATATAATAGGTGCCATATCATCCGGCTCCGCAAAATCGACCGTCAATGCTGGCTGGCCCTGGCTAGAAGAATGTTCATGGCAGCACAAGCGGATGCTTATGGGCTGCGTGTCTGGCCCGTGGCGCTTCCGCTTCTTACGAGCATCTTCTTCATCCTTGCGTATCTTTATCAGCTCGCGAATTCCTGGAGGTACATCGGCATGCGTCTCAAATGGGTTGCCCTGCTCGGCATGGTCGACGAGCCGGTCCATGATGTCCGAGTCAAGCTTCCAATGCCGATCGTCCTCGCGCAGGCAGGGAAATCCTCGGTTCATGCAGCTTGCGCTAGTGCATTCCATCAACTGGTACACGTCTTTCCACACCGGACGATCACCATATGCTTCCTGCCGGGTGATAAGACTGTTCAGAGCTGCAAGATGTTTCTTGGTGGCTCCACGTCCTGCTTTAGCCTTTTTGTCTGGCGCTTGACTTTCTTTATATATGAGCGAGATCACGACTTTAATCGCGCCGCTGAGATTATTCCAGGACTTTAGTTTGCTTTCAATGTCACTCCAGTCAATGACTTGTTTAGGAAATCGCCTGGTATACGGCGGCACGCCACGCTTGGAGTTGGATAGGGTGATGTTTGTCTCGTCGGGCTGAAAGTGAGGCTCAGGTACGTTCTCGTTCACGGGACTTGAGAGTTCGGTCATTAAATTGTCGTTCCAGTACGCACCAGGCGCAATATCGACATTCTCTATAGTATCTTGTGTAAGCGTTGTCACTCTTCCCCGACGTAGTTGTAGCTTCCATATGAGAGTATAAGAGGGTAAAGAAGATGATCCATGGTCACTTGACCGTGGGGTCCGCTGTCCCTCGCTTTCGGAAAGATCGCCCTGCAATGCATGACCATTGGGTGTGCTGAAATCAAACTCAAAGCTCTGGCCGTCATTTGGATCTTGATCAAAAATGAGCGCATCGAGTTCCGGGTTCTGCATTGCGAGGACGTCCGTGCAATATGAACATCACGCGAGGTGTTGGGAGGTTGGACAAGAATGGGAAGCATATCGCGGCAGGAGGGGGTAAGGTAGGTCCAGGAGGACACCGTGTCCTTTGCATGACTTACTAAGCCAACCAGCTTTCAACTAGCCCTTCCACCAAAAAGCGCACCAGACTCCCGCGACTTGGGCATTGCTCGTCCAAGCTCCAAGCACGAGGGAAACATGCCGTCGCCCAGTTTAAATGCTATACCATAATTTTGCGCCACTGCAGCTGTATTTGGCCCAAAAGTCGGTGGCGTACACAACGCGCTCAAGGCAGGCTGTTTGTTGTGTGCATTTCGTTGGGAAACAATGCGTTAGATACAAAGGGCGTTGTGGTGTGGGGTGGTTTGTTTTGGCTCCGGTTTTAGCCTGGCCGGTGCGTGGAACACAGTCCAAGTACTTCTAGACGCCAGGCCACGCACTGTATCGCGGCCAAAAATAGCGATGTGGGCTAGAGTTCAAATCGAAACACATGGACGCTAAACCTGAACCTAACTGTAACAGTCAATAATTGATAAATCTTTGTCGGACTACCAGCTGCTCCATTATTGAGCCAAGAGTTCAAGGGCAAACATTTGCTATATATATAGCTGCCTCAAAACACTCCATATGCAGCTCGGAGCCGGAGCATCCTGTACACTTACGCGGGCATGGAGACAAAGGGAAAATGATACTTAAATTGATCGCTGAGGAAAGATGATGGATGTGTGGCCCGTGAATATTCGAGAACAAATATGCCTTTCCTTCGCATCCGAAATTCATGATGATGTCTCGTGGCCTCTTGGTCCCTGTTTGATCAGCACTCGCGACAACTAATCCGACAGTTATTCTTTTGAGGCCAGGTTCTGTTATGTTTCATTGGCTTTGATTAACGAACCGGTCCTTGAATGATACAAAGGCACCTCCGTACATGACCGAGTCTTATGATGTCGCCGATTTTACATTTTACAGTCTTCCTTTGTGTGGTCGATCGCTGGTTCAAAGGTCATTTGCGCGACCCTCTTGACCAGGAGGTTTCCTGAGTAATGCAGCGATGGAAGATCAGTCCAGTTCAGGCGCATGTGAGAGTCGGATCCATAATCGTCTACAAGTCAACTAATACTAGAGGACAACTCAGACCGGATGTCTTTGTCCTTTGAGCGCGTTAGATACAGTCACTAACGGCCACGTCCTTTATAGCCTCGCCATGCTGTAGCCTCGTACTTCTGTGTCAACCACGCAGCCACAGATCTGCTCTGAGCATATGCGTACTGGAGGGCGCTTTGCCCCTCATAATCCGTTGCATGGATATCTGCGCCAAGATGAACGAGCTGGGCTATCGTCTCAACGGTCCCGAATCTCAGCGCAATATGCAGTACCGTTCCATGATAAGAAAGCGCGTTGATGTCGAGTCTGGCCTCTTGGACAAGATACTCGACGATTTCCGCGCGGGCCTCCCTATTCTTTGACCTCAGGGCGTAGGCAATGACTGGGACGCCGTTCGGGCCGATCGCTGGCAGATGCGAGTGCTGTGCAATCAGGCGGAGCAGATCCAGGCGCCCGAGATGGATGGCGTATTCAGCAAGCAGCCGCCTATGGATAATGGTAGGCGCTCCCTTTTCTAGCAGATACCGGACCGTGTCGAGGTGCCCACCAAAAACTGCCGCAACGATGGGTGCCGTCCACAAGCCGGGCGACGTAATGTCAACGCCTCGCCCGTGGAGAAACTGCAGGACGACGGTGTGCCCCGCGTAGGCCGCCGCAGATGCTATGCTGTGGCCCCTCATCACATAGCGCATCCCTGCCGCGCCGTTTGCGAACAGGTATGCAAGCAACTCGATATCGCCGCGGATAGCAGCGCCGATACAGGACTTTCCGAGCATCTCTGCAGTTGGGACGGAGCTAAAACGCTTGAGAGCGGCCGTGTAACCCTGACAGGTACCATACCGAGCTTGCACGTAGAATGCATTCTCAGGTAGTGGACCGATAGCCTCGAGACGATGGATATATAGTTCAGCTTCCTCAACGCGACCCTGAATCATAAGAGCCAGCGATACAGCCTCCAGCCAAGCCGCCGACTCCTTGAAGTCCGTCCGCCGTAAGCTCAGCAGAAACTCCGTGGCGTAGGACTTGTTATGCTGGCGTTCCTCTTCTTCAGGGCTGAATGCTCGCCAGTACAAGTTCGCGACGAGGAACGCGATGAATTGGACATTCTGAAACGGCTTAAGATTGAGTTTGTACTCCTCTATTGCCAGGTCGCGGAAGGAAACTGGGGATGGAGCTGCTCGGTGATGGATCTCTGGACCATAGATGATTCTGAAAGCGATTTGGGCCACATCTCTCATGCCAGTAGACACCCTCTCAACACGGCATAGTGATTTGGCATCCAGATTTCCTAAGACACAAAGAAGGAGCTCGACGGGCAACCGTGTCAACAGGCATGAGGGGCCGACACTCCTCGCATTAGTGTCCATAACCGAGATAGTCTTTGATTTCCAGGCAGAGATAAATGAAGCGAGCGGAGCAGGGCGTGCGAGAGAGACTTTTGGCCCGGAGCCTGATTTAATGACCGGATTGCCTCTCCATCATCTATCTGAGATAACTCTGAAAAATGCGCAAGACCTGCATTCCCGGACTACCGTGATATGTCATAGATCACAAGCTCTCAGGCCCTGCGCTCATATGATCAACGCATATACATTTGTATGTACAGTAGCCTTTAGCGAGGCGACTTAAATTTATTAATAGATGGCGTGGATATTTGTTTGTTAGGACTGCTTGGGTGTATACATTGTTTGAGCTGGATCATTTAACCCCCAAACGTCGCAATCCTCAGCCTCACGGGGGCGGACCTCCTGGCTCCATCGTCAAACGCTGCTAGGACATGGGCAGGCCCTCCCATCAGGTAGAAAGCAAAGCGTAAGTGTGATGTGGAGCAGGAAATGGGCTATTGGGAATACAATGCAGTACCCGACAAAGCATCTAGAGCTCTCCTGAGAGCAGTCAAATGGGGCACCGGAGCGCGCGACCACCATTTATTATTTATTGTTCCCTCTGTCCTTAGGCAGCTATGTAAGTACTGCACTGTTATTATTTCCCACTTTTGATAGAAAGTGTGGCCACAGATTTGTGGAGGAGCAAGATCATTTAGTTTTACTGATTATAGCCTCTGACTATCGCCTACTCAGCTGTGAATGCTAGGCTTTGCCAATAAATCTCCAACTCTGCTTCTCGGCAAAAGAACGGAATAAGCCATGTTCCTCCAACGTGTTGGCCTTGTGTCCCATCAGAAACGGTTGAGCGTCAGGAGTGGCGAGAGCCGAGCCAAGTGTGCACAACTCGTCATGAGGCAATTTGCGGCACAGCTCGACCACTAATTTCCTGCGAATGCACCAATCGAGGGGCTGCAGGACGTCGGCAACATACCGAGCCGCCGTCCGCAGTTCACCGTCAATAGGCTTGTCTTCGGGAGTGTAGTAACACACCCTGGCGCCAGACCCACGTTCCATAGCCCGCGCCAGGTCTGCAGACACTACCGCCGCATCATCAATATACCCTTTGATACCTCTGTTTTGGAAGTGGACCACGAACCACTGCAGTGCGGCTAGTGAGAAGTTGTGCATCCAGATTTCGCACAGCTTGTCATCCATCTGCTGGGTTGTCCATGCCCGTAGAACAATCTCCTCCTTCTGCTGCGGCGTGACCTCGCATGAGCCAAGGCTTATCCAAGCAGCGAGCTGCCGCACTCTGAGGGTTGCAGATGAGCCAACAATGCGCGTGACCATCTGTCTCTTTGTGATGAGGAGCTCCGAGATGCGGTCCCCATACTGCTCGGCCATCCACTCGGCGACGGCTCCACTGTGAGAAATGGCGTGCTCAAAGGCATCCTGGCCAAGGAAGTCTGTGGCATGTATATCGGCGCCCAGGCTGATCAGCAGCGATACCGTCTCCACGTCTCCGGACCTGATCGCCAAGTGCAGTGCCGTCCCATTGATGCCCAGGGCATTGATGTCCAGCTTGGCTTCCTTGACGAGGAACTCCACAATCTCTCTCCCTCGATCCTTGTCGCGCAATTCCACGGCGAACCCGATACTCAACATGCCGATGGAGTTGGTCGTCGGCAGTGCCGAGTGCTGGCTCAGGAGCCGGAGCACACTCAGGCGCCCTCTCCAGATGGCATGTACCGCGAGAAATTCCCCGTCGATTTTGGTGGGAGCTCCCTTGGCCAGCAGGTAGCTGACAGTTTCGTAGTGGCCGTTGTTGACTGCCGCGAGTATGGGCGACGGCCATAGGTGGTGGCCGGTAATGTCTACGCCACGACCCTTCAGGAACTCCAGCACCGCGTTCTGCCCTCCAGAAGCGGCCGCCGACGCCACGCTGTGACGATCGACTATGCAGCAGAGATTGATCGCATACTTGGCGCACAGGTACTCGAGCAGGTCGACGTCACCGCGAGCGGCAGCCCCGATGACGAGTTTGTGCAGCATTGTGGAGCTTGGTTCGGCGCCAAGGCGCTGCAGTGCCTCGATTAAGCGCTTGCGCGAGCCGTAGCGCGCCAGAGCTATGACCATTCCTTCCGACGGCGGCCCGAGGGCGGCCAGCTGAGCGTAGCATTGGTCGGCTTCCCTCAGGCGGCCCTGTATCATGAGCGCCAGAGCCGCGGTTTCTAGCCAGACGGGACTGTATGCAGCATCACTACGTCGCAGGCTGAGCAGGCTGAAGACGGCAAACGACTGGTTGCCACTGTCTATGGGAGAGTGGACCTGCTCATACATGGCGTACAAGAGGGCCGTGATCTCCCACGTGTAATGGAAAGGGGTGCAGTCTAGTTTGTACTCCTCGATCGCGAGCTCCCGCAATGGCGAAGGCGATAGAGCCACTCGATGTCGGACACCAGGACCGTATACTCCTCGGAAAGCACTATGTGCTGCATGCCGCAAAGCCTGGCATACTCTCTCGGCATACCACAGTGACTTGGCGTCGAGGTTCTCGAGCACATAAAGGAGCAGCTCGGGCGGCAGCCGCGTGAGAGGAAATGGTGACCCACTACACAAACCCTCGGTCGCCATAGTGAGGCCCGGTGAACACTTTCGCTATGTCGGGTTGGGCAGGCTGAGCCGGCAGAGATGGTGACGTAACTTCATCGCTCGACCACTGTATCATTGAGCAAACTCTTCGCTTTATCGAAAAGCCCTCTGAGTCTTGCCGTGAAGTATTCATATTCTACATGTATGCTACTGCTCACAGCTGCCAAACGATCCGTGGCGTGTTCTGAGCTCGCCTCCGGCGAAAGACGCTGGGCACCAAGGTGGGCGGGTTTGTGTGTGTATGTTTGTGCATCCATGTTTGCGGAACTTGAGTATGTCCCGTGGGGGTTTGTTCGCGAATGCTGGGTCTGTTTGTGGGTGAGGAGATTTGTTTGGACGGGGGACCTTAGCAAAGCAGGTGGAGCAGAGCATTAGTCTGAGTGGTTGCAGCTGATGAGCTCCACAAACTGACACAAACCCGAACAAACACACAACTGCAAGTGTGAGTCCAATGAGAGCCGGCAAGGGGTTGTCAGATCCACACACTCCTGGGTCCCCATGCTTTGTGCTGCAGGCTCATGAGGCCTGCATCCCTGCTAGTGCCGTAGTAGACTCGGCCGTCATGCATGAGCGGACGGGGCTCTGCCAGACGGCGCACCGGGCCGGGTTCGTGCTGTCCCCGACCGAACACGGGGCCGTGAGGGCATACGCCTGGCGATATGTGGCATAATCACAAATTTGGGCAGTCAGGTTGGTCATGTATGATTTGAAAACTTGGCAGGAAGCGGCGGTTTACTGCGCTGTACTGGGATGTCAAGCCAACCCCGAGTCCCATCTCAAAATGGACGATTTGCCCTACCCCGGTCGTTGTGCTGTGAGGGGGAGAGGGCCGTTGTTGGTTCTCGTCAACAGCCACCATCAGATCCACTGACACGGGTCTACGCAACCCCCCAGACGAGTCAGCCGAGGGAAACCACCTGGTCTCTTTTTGGCGCGCGCAGAAATTCACGCAGTCTGCTCAAGTTTTCCCGGTGAGGTTCATGTACTGCAAGGCCGAAGAGCTATAACAAAGTCAATTATCAGCAGGCAGCCGCCTTGGAGTGCCCATCTCAGGACAACGGACAGTTCCCGTCCCAGGGAATTCTCGCAATGAATCTGCGCCACCTCCTCACGATCGGAGCTCTGGCGGCTAGTCAGAGCTCCGACTATGTCGGCAGCCAACAAGCCCTCACCCACCACGACCACGACCACCACGACCACCACCAGCCGCATGTGCTTGCTCAGCTCGCCGCCGTCCCATGGCCGCGCCCAGCCAGCCGGCGGAGCCTGATGAGCGCGAATATCTGCCGCTGCCTGCCGGGTGATTCATGCTGGCCCTCCCAGGCGAGGTGGGACGAGCTCAACGCAACTGTCTCGGGCAGACTGGTGGCGACCGTCCCCATTGGCTCAGTCTGCCATGACCCGACCTACGACGAGCAGGCATGTACAGCCCTCCGCGCGTCGTATAGCGAGCCAGAGACACACTACAGCTCGTCCTCGTCCATGATGGAGCGATTCTGGGCCAACCAGTCCTGCAACCCGTTTGCGCCGCGGGAGACGTCCTGTGCCGACCTCGGCAATCTCGTCAGCTACTCCGTCAACGTGAGCGGGCCGTCGGACATCGCCGCAGCGATAGGCTTTGCCAAGTCTGAGAATATTCGGCTCGTGATCCGAAACACCGGGCACGACTTTGTCGGGAGGTCGACGGCGCGCGGGGCGCTGGCGGTGTGGACGCATCACCTCAAGTCAACGGAGTTCGTGGCGGCCTACCAGTCGGCACTGTACACTGGGCCAGCACTGAAGATGGGCGCGGGCGTGCAAGGCTCTGAGGCTGCAGCGTTCCTTGCGCCGCTCGGGTTCGTGGCCGTCGGCGGCTGGTGTCCATCGGTGGGTGTCGCCGGAGGCTTTACCGCCGGAGGTGGCCACTCGCCGCTGGGGTCCAAGTTTGGCATGGGCGCGGACCAGACACTCGAGTTCGAAGTGGTCACAGCCGAGGGCGTGGCGATCACGGCTTCTCCAGTGGTCAACCCAGATCTGTACTGGGCACTGAGCGGCGGCGGACCCGGCAACTACGGCGTGGTGACAAGCGTGACCGTCCGGGTGTACCCGGACGCGCCGGTCGCCGGCCTGTTTCTGATGATTGACCGGAAGACCGCATCGCCCCTCGCTTTCTGGGCGGCCATGCGGGTCTTCTTCGAGCTGATGCCGGCCATAGTGGACCGCGGGGTCGGAGCGACGTTCAGCCTGGGCGCCGACGTGTTCTACCTGACCCCGCTGACGGCGCACGGCCTGACGCTGGCGGCAGCCCAGGCGCTGGTGCAGCCTCTGGTCGACGCGCTCGACCGTGCCGGCATCGCGAGCACGGCGCAGTGGCTGGCATCGCCGGGCTACCACGCGCACTGGACCACGTTTGTCGCGCCGGGGCCGGTGGGTTCCTTCTGGCAGAGCAGTGCGCGCATCGTGCCGCGAAGCGTCGTCGAGGACGCGACCCGCCTGAGCAAGCTCATGGCCGCGCTGCAGCACATGGTGGACGACGGGGCCGTGACCATCGGGGGCACAGTGGTCGGCGCCGTGAAGCGGACGGGCGCGGCCAACGCGGTGCTGCCGGCGTGGCGGGACGGCGTGGCACTGCTGGGGCTGCTGACGCCGTGGAGCGACGCGCCAGCCGACTGGGCCCGCATGCGGGGCCGGCAGCGGTGGCTGGGCGACGAGATGCGGCCGCTGATCGAGGAGGTGACGCCAGGGAGTGGGACATACATGAACGAGGCGGATGGAGCGCAGCCCAACTGGCGAGAGGCATTCTTTGGCGATAACTACGACGCGCTGGCGGCTGTCAAGAAGACGTGGGATCCAGACTCGTTCTTCTGGGCGCTCCAGGTGCCGGGGAGCGACGCCTGGACCGTGGCGGCTGACGGGCGCATGTGTCGGGCCGAGGTGGGACTCTGAACCCGGACCTTTTGCCACGTGCTTAGTCATTCGACCATCGCCAGACACTCCAGAAGCCAGACCTGGAACGCCTCCATTAGAACCATGTGTATAGACTATACACGACGACGTGCATGACCCTTCTGACCGCGAACCACCTACTCGTTGTCTATATACGTTTCTTCAGTCCACCTGGTTCTATTGATCCTTGTTGAACGGCAGGCGCCTCTGTTGGTCAAGTCCGCGGAGAGCAGCCCTCGCCGCCATGTGGTCATACTGGTGTAGGTTTGTGACGTACGGCGCCCGCTCCGTAGACTATCGGGGCAGTGCGGCACATCCCGCCATGGCATCATTTGGCTCCTGTCTCTTGGTACAGGGACGTCTGCCAGAGTACCTCGTGTCCACCTTCGTGGAAAGACCGGTGTCCCTAATGGAGTCTGCTCATACGTCGCCCTCATCTGGATGAAGAACTGCCGCTGCTCCTTCCATCTCGTTGGTAATCTCGTCACTCGTGACACCATGCGAGGCATAGGACGGGTGCCCTACGTCGTATTTATGGTCTGCTTCGCCGTTCCTGGACTTCTCTGGCAAAGAGACTAGCTCGTTATCGCCTGATGAGAATCCGCCCCTGGTAGTCGGAGCAGCAAGTCTGATACAGGCCCTTAAGACCTCAGGAAGATTGATACGTAAGCTGATGTACGCCAGTTCGACGGTGATGAGAACGAAGGTAACTTTCGAGGACCCCGTGAAATTGGCGCTCCAGTCGATCCGGAATAGGAAGGCGAAGTGAACAGCGCTAATAATGCAGTCCCTTGGAGACTCGCCCTGTCAGCAAAGCCTGGTTCGCAGGGAGGGGCGCGGGACCTTATCGTCTCCATTAAGCTTACCCGGACCCCAAAGCAAAGATGGCGATCACAGTTATCTTCTTGGATGTCGACATCTGTGTCTTCCAAAGCCTATGCATCGGCATGAGTGTGACGACGAGGTCTAAAGCAAAGTTTGTTGCTACAAGACATGTCCACAGCGCGACCTGGTCTCTGCAACTGTTGCCTTGTACAATACTCCATTGCGGGCCCACGGAGTCGCACAGGAAGACGGAATTGAGCAGGAAAACGGATCCCCAAAGGATAACGAGTCCTATGGCTATGTTGATGGCCTGGCAAAGTCGTTTCTCGGTTCGGAAAATTAGGAGGTAGAGACAGAGCTGGCTGATCTTGAATAATACAAGAGTGATGATGTAGACTAGTGTGTATATGAACGTGGCCTGGTGAGAAGAGTCAACGTGGTTGCTTGAATGAGCGTGTGCTGCAGAAGAAAGTGGAAGGGTCCACGGCGTATTGTCTCACCTGTAGAATGGTTGGAAGATTCTCAACTACTAAAAGTCTCGTCCCTGATTAATCATCTTACTTATGTCCCTCGAGGTGATTCTTTACGTACGGGCTCCATCATATGGAGAGTTGTCATGCATGTCGTGTCCGACACCAAGGAGGAAGACTGTTCGAAGTGATCGGTCAGCACAGGTAATATAGCTTGGTCAGGTAACTCACGGATTGTGCTAAGAGCGATGGTAATCCCTATGAATAACTATTGTACGTTAGCGGTGCTTCTTCCTACGGAATTCAGTGCTGGTGTACTTACCATCGCAGCGACGGTAATCCAAATATCCCAGCATGGTTGGCCACTTTTCCTTCGTTCTATCAAACGGATGATGACCAGAACGACGTCAAGCACCCATATGATAGGAGCTACAACGATGCACCCGACCGCTTCTGATGTAAGAGGAAGCATCAACATGATCGACGATGATGAAAGACAAAGGGGTGTGAGAAGTGTCCAAGAAGAAGCCTCAGGATCTTCGTCCGGCACGCGCTCCTCTTTATGTACTGTTGCGGCGCTTATGCATGCGAGCCGGCGAGATCCCGGGCCCTGGCTTGGCTCGGAAAAGCAGCGTCTGGCCCCCGGAACTGCCAATTGGTTGATATTCTTGCCCAGTCCCTACTATTGTCTCGTTGCATGGAGTGTCATGCAGGGGCTCAGAAGGACGCTTCAGCAACGCGACCATGGTAGCATCCCACGTTCTTTAGGCTTGCTTCCGATTCTAGTTCGCATGCAACCCTGCGTAAGCCTCTGAGACTTTTGCTAGAATGTCACTATCTTGTTCGGAAGTCAAGAACCTGGGTTAGGCTTCACGCCGAGGGAATCAGGCTGTGCGGCGATTTTGACTACGGAGGTCTGGCCCATGGCTCTTGTTTCAGTGTGAGACTTCACTGTGTGAATGTGCTATGCTGGTGTGTTCGAAGCGGCTCCTCAGCCTTAGGCGATCCATGTCCCTGGGATGACCAGATCGGGCCAGGGTCGCTCGACGGGTGGTACTGATCATGGCCCTCCTACGAAGTTCTCGGTACGCGATTCGCGTAAGTCCTCCATCGCGCGCCACGATCGAGATCCTGTCTTTTGCACAGGCTCACAATGAGGAACCTGGCCCAATTCGTTGCCATGCACTCCTGTCTTCCAGGGGCGCGCTGCCAAGTGCTGGGTCACTATCACTGGGAAGATACTGGACCACAACCGTGGCAAAACAGCTGGATTCATCGCCTTTACATAGAATGACACAAGTCCACACACATCCTCTGAGACCTGCCCGCTTTGTTTGGTGAAAGGCAATGTGGTCCCATATGTCGAGGCAAACAAGAAATCCTCCATAAATAGCGTGCCTATGTGTCACTCTATTAGACCCGAAGTCTCCCAGTCGTCACCGACAAAGAGCACTCGGGACAATCTTCGAGCTGCAACATAGGTTCTTTACTAAACATATTATACGACTATAACGGCGTGCGAATCGAAGCTTGGCAGTCACAATGTCGTCGACATTTGCTGCTACGCCTTACGCGTTCCAGGAATCTTGGATTCGGAATTCTCTGGAGATTGCCTTTGCTACCTATGCTGGCTACAAGGTTATGGTCGCGCTCTACAACATCTCTCCCCTCCATCCCCTGTCCCGTTTCCCCGGACCAATGCTTGCAGCAGCAGGATACTTTTACGAGGCATATTACGGCTGGATTTGTGGCGGCAAGTATACGCAGCAGATCAAGCGCATGCACGAGAAGTACGGTGAGTGTATAGAGATGTCTTGGAGGGTAATGAGAGTCCACGATCAACTGTAAGTAATACTGTAGTATCCGTTCCTAGGTCCAATCGTCCGCATCAACCCCGACGAGCTGCACTGCAACGACCCTCTCTTCACCGACGAGATATATGCCGGCCCGGGACGAATCCGAGACAAATGGTACCACCAGCTCAACACGGGCGGTGCCGGTCCTGTGTCGGCGACTGCCTTCTCGACTGTGCTGCATGAGGTGCACAAGATGAAGAAGGCCCCCTACGCACGATTCTTCTCCCGCCAGCAGATCGCCAAGCTCGAAGGTGAGGTCCTCGATGCAGCGCAGCTCGTAACGAACAAGGTGCTATCCATCGCGCAATCCTCGAAGGAGGCCAACAAAAGCCAACACGGCGAGGTCTTCGACGTCAAGGACGCCTTCAACTGCTACACGGCCGATGTCATCGGGCAATATGCCTTTGGCACATCCATGGGCTTCATTACACAGGAGGGCTGGACGCCCAACTTTGCGACCTGGGTCAAGTCATTTCTGCAGTAGGCCTACACGATGCGGCATAATGCGGTGGCGCGCAAGCTCGCGCAGTACATCCCGCTCATGGCGGACCACATGGGCGAGGATATTGCCACTGTCATGAGGCAGATGAATGTCGTCATTCCGGGGTACATCCAGGCCGCACTGGACGATCCGGAGAACCGGCGTGTGTTTGCCGAGGTCCTGCAGAACAAGAGTCTTCCAGATAGTTACAAGGACATGTTCCACCTGTCTGGAGAAGGGTTCAATTTTCTGCTAGCCGGGACAGAGACTACTGCAGTAAGTATCGTCATCATCTCCCGTTCTTTTCACTGTCATCGTCATCGTCATCGTCATCTCCGGCCGGCGTGCTGACCCGGTGTTAGGCCATTCTCACCGTCATCACATATCACCTCCTCCATCAGCCAGCCATCTACAAGCGCCTTATGCAGACTCTTAGCGACACCTCTCCCTCCACGCTAAAATGGTCCCACCTCGAGAACAAGCCTTACTTCTGGGCCATCGTGCAAGAATCGCTGCGCATCATGCCGGGCGTCTCGCACCGCTCCGCACGCATTGCCAGGGATGAAGATCTGCACTACAAGAACGCGGCTGGTGACGTCGTTTACCTCGTCCCCCGTGGCACACCAATCGGGATGTCCTCGGTGATCAATCACATGGACCCTAAACTGTATCCGGACCCGGAGGCTTTCAGACCTGAGCGGTGGCTTCTGGACGATGGATCTCCAAACTACAAGCTTCAGAAGTATTTGCTGGCCTTCAGCCGGGGCAGCCGGTCTTGTATTGGCGAGAAGTAAGTTCTCTTTCTGTTCGGTCGCATATGTCTTGCTATTTCAATGCCTCACCAAATAGTCGAGAAAGGTCGCGAATGTCCAAAGGCTTACAACGGCAATGCACAGTCTTGCGTACTGCGAGATCTACATCATGGCCGCGCTCATGGCGTTCCAGGTTATCCCACGCGCCACGCTGCACGAGCCTGGCGAGCCGGCTGAGCATTTTAAGTACGATCACGACATGATTGTGCTGCAGACCAAGAACGGTTCCATTAGCTGCAAAATAAGCATCTGCTAAGGGCTTCGCATTCGAGCTTGTACCCTACTTTACGCCTGGTCTCGCTCAAGTCAACAAGCGACTACAACAAGCAAGAGGCGAGTGACGGAGCATAAAGTGTAGACGGCCATTGCTGGGGCAACTTGACTGAACAGCATGAGACCTGGGCAACGGAGGTCACACGATGATGGTGTCGCGCGATCGTTTCTAGACAATTACCCTATATATTGCATCGAGTGACAATGCTATCTGGATCTGCCCATGCTACCGCCGCCAAAGGTTGTCCATTAAAAGCCTCTAGCATTGCGATGCTCGTCGAGACTCTTGGGAACATGATTGAGCAGAACACTTGTTTGCACTACTTTAAATGTTATACTGAATCCTTCTCGTTTCATGTTCATATACGAGATGAAAGCATGATTATTGTACCTGGCTTCAAAGCATTGCCAAAGCTAGTGGTCAATCCGGACTTACCCGAGATGTACCTGCCTTCCATTCAAATCTTGAAAGCCCCATCGAGCATATCCGATCTTTCCAATCACCTGTTCAATGTCGGGCCGCTCAAGCGCCCGGAAATCCTGTCAGTACTGGGTGGCACGGTCGGCTACCCGCCTCGGTGACGGAGCCTCATTCGTCACCATGGGTTCCTATCTTCCAGGGGCACGGTGGTAAGTTCTATTTTATTATTCCTGTGACGACGCGGGACGAGACGCGTAGCAAGGTAGCCGGCCTCAGGACGGAGTGGCCACGACGTATGGGATGCTTAACGGAAATATATATTAGAGCCGCCCTAGGCCCCATACCCCTTAGGCGGTTAACCATTCTCTGCCCAGGCGTTACACATATCAATCGAAGAATCACAATCTAGGAATAATCTCCGAAATTCCTGGAGTGGTGCTCCGATTGAAACTAGGCAAGCGTGAAAGATATGCTGGCATAAATCGGATCTCATAACAATGGTTCGTAACGCGTGGACCGTGGAGGACTAACGAGATATGGAGCCACGATAAGGCTGACCTATGTAGATATGCAGATGGTTCGTTCGCATTACGCCTCCGTCAGGCGCTATTCACCATCCTCTATCACGGTAGCTTCTGCTATCAAGCTCGTAGATGGGACAATATATACAAGTAGATAAATGCTGGGCAGGTTTCCTCCATATTACAATCCAGTTTTGACCTGTACAGACATGCTATATTCCTTGGCTCAAACTACCATACTCTGGTCAGATAACCATATACACATCGCAGTCAGGATGGAGACCAAGCCAATGATTACTGACTTCCTGATGCCATTCCAGGTATTCATGGTATCCTACAGGCCCGTGCACAAAGTTTATGTCGCAAGCTGCCTCAGCGTTTAGAAAAGGGTCACCGTGCGTTGGCCACGTTTGGGGATTATGATTCCAACCATCCTTGTCGGCAATGGACCTGCATTTACTGGTCCAATCATTGACCTTCTGCGTCGAGTTCCCGCTACGTGCAGTAGCCACCACCCCATACCGCCGGCCGATTTCGTCCCAACTACTGTACCAACGGACCCACAGAGTGCATTTGTCGAACGACATCGGATCGTCTACGGCATTGTTGAAATACTCGTTGTCGTGCGATGGGTTAGGACGAATAATGGCGAAGGCTGTCCTTGAATATACCAGGAGAGCAATAATGAGATGGCCAGATGGGCTTTCATTATTTAGATGTGCCAGTTTCACATATGCCTTCGTGGCGATGGACAGACTAACCAAAGTCTTTAGCGGATGGTAAGAGAGTCGATGCATATATAGCCAAGTACAAGACCGTATGCTATAACATCTCGAGGTGTTGACGTAAACAGCCCGCAAAGAAGCCCGGCCCTTCTCCGGCACCTCAAATTGGCCAGGGTGGAAGAGCCGAAGACAAGCTCTACCCCCTAGTTAATTCTATTTTGGCTGGTCAAGCAGTGTCTTCTGCACTGCCGCCCTCATAGAGGGCATGGCAATGTAATATGTAACATCTTCGGCGTGGTGCACAGTAGGAAACAATCATACCGTTGGCCCGTATCACAACTCGCGCACCGGCAAATTGACATCATGGCCGCGCTCGTGGCGTTGCAGGTCGTCCCACGCGCTAAGCCTTATGAAGCGAACACTCCCGACCATTTTAAGTACGATCACGATATGAAAGTATTGCAGACTGAGAAGAGACCCATCAGTTGCAAGATGGATACTAGCTAAAGGTGCGTCGAGGAGTATAAGAAGAAGGAGAAGGAGAAGAAGGAAGAAGGAGAAGGAAGGAAAAGGGAAAGCCCATACACCTAAGGCAATGAAAGAGATTCAATTGCTTCCGTCAGCAGACGGTATCGTGGCACTCCTGCAACAACTTCATGCCAATTGGCCTTGTCAATAGACGGGAATCTCGAAGCAAGAACACCGCCTACCGTTACACTGCCAAAATTCTCATTGTTCGACTCATACCCGTACATTTGGGCCGCCTCCACAAAGTCTTTGTCGATCGTGACCCCGTCGGAGACTTTAACGGCGTAAGTATCGTCAGTCACGTTGTATGCTACGATGATGCCGAAGTCGGTGGGTCGATCAATGCCCTTCACCTGAATGTAGTTCTCGATGGCCACTACAAAGGTGTTCATCGTCTCCCCTGAGGCCTTGATGCTGGCCACAGCGTTCTGGATCCGGTTCAATGCGCCCAGGGCGCCTGCCGCGTTGTACGGCTGCTCGCCGACGCCGGACCGCACAGGGATCCTATCGTAGGTGACCTCAGTCTTTTCAGCGACAAGCTTGGCGAAGTATTCCTTGATTATGGTGATCTTGTGCTTGTTTTCGGTCGGGATGATAACCCTAATGAATGGCTGGATGATGCTTTTTATAGCAAGCTCTGTGGTGTGGTTGGACATATTCGGGATGACCGAGTGGAGCTGTCTGAGGTCCTCTGGTGACATGACGACTCGCTTTTCCGTGTTTCTGAGAGCCTCAATGTCGGGAATCCGCTCCCTCAGACGTTTAATGCCCTCTACCGCTTCGAAAAGCCTCTCCACACATTCTTTTTGGCCAAAGATGAAGGCTCTGGGCTCTGGAGAACCTAACCGATGTCATAAGTAAGGGAGGTTAGTGGGATTCATCTCAGTAATATAATAGTTGTCATACTCACGATCACGATCAGCTCCGGTGCCGGTGTCTACCGTGTTAACGTGGAGTGTGAGGTATCGCACAACAGGAGATCTCCTGTCAGATATCCAGCTAACGTTGTCGCCACACTCTTTGAAGACAGTTTCCAAATCTTGCTGTACTAAACAACCTTGGCCGCTTTTGAGCCGCATCCTCGCCAGAGTGAGTTCGGGCTCGCATGCCTTGGTTGCCGAGCTGGGGCTGGTCTTGGAACTGTCAACGCTATACTCCGTGGTGCGGCCACAGTCGAATTGATCCTTGAAAGTTATGGTATTGCAACCATAGCTGATGGTCGGGGGAGTAGCCTCAGTCATCTTCCCATCACAGCCGATCGACCAAAACTGCATTTTGGCCTGTTGGGAGATGATTTGGCTGTCCTCAATGACGAAAGCGATATACGAGGCTCAGTGTGGTGCAGAGAAGCTTATTTGGGTTCCCAACAAGAGGCGGCCTTCTCAGGCCTTATATATCTGACGCCCTTATAGACGCGCCTGCCTCCCAAGGCTTCCCTTGCATAGCCTCCTTGGAGGCCTAAGCAGGCAGGGAAGACATAACAAACATAGCGATATGGTCCTTGGTCATGTTTGGAGAGAGCCGGGATGCACGGTGTTCGCCAACTAGCGCAAGGCAGACAGGTTCTCAGCTGCGCCATGCGTATCAGGAACTTTGAGCATGGTCTATAATGCTTGAGCAAGCCACTTCCTTCGCACAGTGGCGGACCGAGAGCCTGGTCATCAGTGGGCCTATGGCGCATGGCCAGAACTAGGTGGCTGCAAGATATGATGCTATTGGAATTATGCACCCAAATAGCGAGCTCTATCATTAGCCAAAGGTGCCTCGCCTTCAACGCTTAGATTGCAAGACACTCCCGTCCGAGACTTGGCATCAGTCAAGGCGATATGCAGGTTATTCGAAGTAATATTAATGACTTAATTTCATCTGACGCGAAAGCCGCGGATACCCCAATCATAGCCTACCCCGTGTTATGGCTGATAGTCCCCCACACGCACACGGGGATCAGTGAAACAATCTATATGACCAACTCTTAGAACTCTCACCGGGCGCTTCTCGGTGAGGATTGCATAGGTCCGGGACTCACCGGGAAACGGCAAGCGCGCGGGATGTGGCAGTGCTTCACTAATGCCGTGGCCCAGCACCGACATTTGAGCATGCGGCCGTTCAAAGGAATATATATCCATCCCTTTCAGGTAGAGACTGTTAAATGGACTAAAAGCATGAAGAAGAGAAATATCTGGGGAACTGCTCCATACAGATGGCCATTCGCTAAGTTTGGACTTTCTGTACCTCCTGGAGCAGTGGTCCCATTAGGCAATCCTCCCAGAATCAGAATAACAGAGTCGTGTTCATCCCTGTTGTATACCAAGACAGCACTCTTGTTGAGGCTCTGGTAGCTGCCGTTTCCCAGCAAACCGCTCGTGTATGACTCGTCATGATTTTCGTCGCAGCCACATGGCTCATAGATGGAGCAGATGCACTCGGCCGGCTTGGTCTCGTTCCTCCGCGTCGTAGCGTTGTAGTAAATGCATGAAGATTTCCATACATACACGTATTGGCCACCTGGGTATATCTCAGGGCGGGCTCCCGTTTCACCTGATCGAACCAACGTTGGTGGGTGGCCGCTAGAAGAGGGGGAGCCTGGGGGAGAGGGTCCACCGGCGTTGGAAAATGGAGACCCTTTAGGCAAGTTCGTGACATTGTGGTATAGAGATTCAGTAGGATATCTCTGGCAGTTTTATGGGAGCACGCATCAACCAGGGCTGAGGAAGGAAAAGGGCTCTGCAGAAGTCTTCCATGCTGGCACATACCTCGATGACACACTACCGCCGCCTTTCGGTCCGCCAGCTTTGCCCTTGGCTTCCGCTAGGGTGAAGCATGCCAAAATTGTGAGCAAGGCCGCATCGAAGTAGAAAGGTGACCCGGATTGTGAGATTGATCCTTTGGTCCAGTTAGTACGAGGTGTATCTCTGGAGAAAATCAAGTATATGGACAATTCCTAGCCATAGGCACAGGCTTAGAGCCCGATGGGGCTGTGCTCGTATGTCTGCGAGGCTACTGCCAAGGCACACCGGGGAGAAATCTTCTCCAGAAATCCTTTCAGGAGATGAGCACGGCCTCTTTGCTATCTGGGTGGATTCGCGACTCATTACGCTGCTACGGGATATAGTTATCCAGCAGCGATTGCCCTCTGTAGGACGACATAAAAGCACCTGGTGGACAATGGCATCAGAAGCTCCGGTACTTCTTGGTCATCTTTCTGATGCCCAGTCTGTCCTGAACGGTACCCCCTCAGGCATACAGCCAGCCTACAAGGGGGAAAATAGTCCTCTCTTCCATACCCGCGGGCCTTAGGCAACGCAGCACCTACGTGGACTGCTGCGACGCTAGCATAAAGTGACCTGCAGAAGAGCAGCGGTGTATATGGAAGATGAAGGAAACAACACGCACCTCAGGTCTGATGTAGCATGGTCTACTTCGCAGCAAGGATTAATCACAGTGTAGTACCTAGGTATTTTTGGCTGCCTATTGGAGCCTGCTGTAGAGCTCAGCGTCGTTCGTGAAATGTGTGCTGCAGACACAGCTTATTGGCCTTTCCGCTGTTCGCTTGTTACATCCCGTGTAGAGAAAGGGCGCTCTTTTGGATCTGACCTCATAGAAATGCGACCAGTTGTTGCACACGACCCGCCGCCTTATTGACCTGATGGGCCCCACCCATGCACAGGGAGAGGGGAGCGACTTACCCTTGCGGCAGGGCGTAAGGCAGACAGGCTGTCGGAATGATGATCACCTGAGGCAGGCTATCGGTGTGCAAGGAAGTGGTCTGCTTACCATAGTAGCAGTGCAGACCATGCGCAAAGGTGCCTAATATGCATGGCGCAGCTGTCTGTGGTGCATGAGTAGCATTGAGTGGCTACAAGTCATAATGATGCACTCAGATAGCGAGCTCCGTCATCATTGTGAACTGCGGCTCTGGCGGGACGTCATACAACGTGCCGGGGGATTTGGTGGCCCAACACCTGGCGGACGAGAGATTCTGGGACGTCAAACTGCTCGCGTAAAGCGTGGTTCCGTCTTCGATGATGCCTACGAGCAGTTTTATAACCTGGGTGAAGGCATCAAAGAGCCTATACAGATTACTTTTGTTGATCAATTCGACCAGCCAGAGGCTGGTATCGATGGTGGAGGCGTGACCAAGGAGTTCCTCACAAGTGCTGCGGAAGAGGCCTTTGACCCTAGCGAGAACGGTCCTGGGTATTTCGTGGCCAACCAGCAGAACTTACTGTATCCCAACCCAAGCGCCTTTGATGAACGCGCTGAATTCCTTCGTTACACCGGCACGGCCAAGGGATCGCCGGAATGGAACAACGGAATGACTGACCTGTCCAAGCGGTACGAGTTCTTGGGACGGCTGGTAGGGAAGTGCATGTACGAGGGCATTCTGGTCGATATGTCGTTTGCAAGCTTCTTCCTGCTCAAGTGGGCGTCGTCAGGTCAGACCTCACCCACCGACCACAGAGCCAATCTCAACGATCTGCGGGATATGGATCCGGAGTTGTACCAAGGTCTGATCAGCCTCAAGAACTATCCGGGGGACGTTGCCGATCTCTCGCTGGACTTCACCATAACAGACCAGGTCAGGGATTTCCAAGGCAAAGTCCATACCATCACACGGCCTCTGCGCAAAGAAGGGTCGAGTTTGCCCGTCACGAACAAGGACCGGCCCCTCTTCATAGCATACGTTGTCAACCACCGCCTGGTTGCCCAGCCGTACCGCCAGACGAAAGCGTTCCTGCGCGGTCTGGGCACCATCATCAACCCTTATTGGCTGTCCATGTTCAACCAGTCGGAGCTGCAGCGCCTCGTCGGTGGCGACAGCACCGAGATTGACGTCGAGGACCTGCGCCGCAACACGCAATACTCGGGCCTCTACACCATTGGCGACGACGGTCTCGAGCACCCCACCGTCGAGATGTTCTGGCAGGTCATGCACTCCTTCAAGGACTCTGAGCGGCGCGAGGGCTTGAAGTATGTCACCTCGACGCCGCGCGCCCCGCTGCTCGGCTTTTCCCAGCTCAGTCCCGCCTTCAGCATCCGTGACGGCGGCACCGATGAGGATAGGCTGCCCAGCACGAGCACGTGCGTCAATCTTCTCAAGCTGCCGCGGTACACCTCTGCCGAGACGCTGAGGAGCAAGCTTTTGTATGCAATCCAGTCTCATGCTGGATTTGACCTGAGCTAAGCGGTGCTCCTGCAAGCCTCATAGTGACCACAGTAATTGTGGCGTCCAACGGCATGTAGAAGGGACAAAGTGGGTGGGACTTTTGAGCGATTGGCTTGGGGATCTGCGTTGCATTCTAGACAGTCCTTTCACCTCGCAGGCATCGGTCCAGCCGCGCAGGTAGGCCCTCATCGTGCTGGTTTCGACCTAGCTCTAGATTGAATAATCTCTAGGTCTTGTTCTAATATGTAGTCGGTTTTTCACCAAGTATGAATTGCTCTCAGTTAGCAGTACATCTTTGCCCAGTTCATTACCAAGTACCTAGTCCCGAAATCTGATGTCCTGGCATCCACTCAAGCGCCATTTATTGGACCCACCCACTGTATCACAAGCCAAGACAAAACATCATGCTCAGCTCGCCTTTCTAGCTGGACACTTGCTGTCCGTGGTCTTAATATTGACGAAGGCATGGACAATAAGCGCCGCCTGGCTCCCGCTCGGACACTTTGGATACGCGAGCGTCGTGACCGCCCAGTAACGCGTATCCTTGGCAGTGAGGGTTCCCGACTTGCGCGTGTACGAGCCCGGCGTGCACTGATTTAGGGGCAGGCAATCGAAGTAGACATTCGCCTCCGCGAGATTGTACCCCTCGGCAAGGGCCCAGCCGATCGCGACCTTGCCTTCCCAGTTGGCTTTTGCTGCCCAGGATCCCACCGTTACAGCCTTGGTGATATCATCGCCCCCGGCGCCGACGTATAAAGGCCCCTCGATACCGCCGCTGCGACCGCCCTGTAGCTCCGCGAGTGTGGGGGTGTCGTACCAGCCCCAACGGTTGCACCCCTCGCCGGGCTGCGTGTCCAGCGTGAAGGACTTCCTGGTGCTGCCGGTTGGCCTCTCGTAGCCAAAGGCCGCGCCGAAGCTGCAGATTTTGTGGGTTGCAGTCGGCGGCAGAGCGGACGTCGATGTCGATATCGATGCCGATGTGGAGGTTGTCTTGCATGGGACCGCCGCGCACTTGGTGCAGCGGAGTATCATCTCAAAGTAGTCGTGGGTGGTGGCCGAGTACGACGTGCACTGACCGCGAGCGTCCCGGGCCATGCAAGGAGCCATGCTCTTGAAAACAGAAGTGATTACGGTACCAGTGCTCGACTCGATTGATTCAGTTTGGCCAGAGAATGCCAGGAAGACGTCGAGAGCCTCCCTGTCGTCGTTGGGGCACATTCCCGCCATGACATCCTTGATCGGGGTAGTAACAGGAACCCCCAGGATGGTGGTAAAGGGCAGCATGCAGACAAACCCGGAACCATCCTGTGCGCACACGATTTTGGCCATTGGAGGGTTGCTCCAGGTCCTCGGGTCGAGCGAGTTGCCCTTCAGCTTCCATGCTACAGTCGCAGACTTGGTAGTGTAACCCGGGAAAGACGAAACGTTGAAGTACAGGTTAGGACCTATGAAGTCGAGGCAAACGCGCGAGGTGACGATGCTGCCGCTCGGCGTCGTGAGGGCGATCGCCGGGCATCGCTGCACGTAGTTGTTCTCTAAGGGCAGCTGGAAGTTGTCCTTGTCGGGCAACGGCACGCCCGCGAGGCTGCAGTCCTCAGTACAAATGTCGTAGTACGATCTTTTGGACAGCAACTCGACCGCTGTCCGGACAGCAGTTGTCCCAAGCGGCACGCCTGCGAGACCAAGACCGCCGAAGAGGCGGGCAAGTATGCGGAATTGCATACTGGCTGATTGCCGGGGCTTTTCAAGGCCAAACGGGCCGTCAGGGAACTGAAGATGGAGAGGTTCTGATAGCACTCACACCCGACTCAAGGCATTTCCCCATCTACTCACCTACGTAGTGTACACGCGCCGTCCATATTCGCATCGCGGGCTTTAGCTAGCCTACGCCTGCAGGGAGTGGCTGCGGAATCACCGGTTATGCTTGGAGGGAGACTCTGACGGATGGCATTGTAAAGGCCTGAATTTGTGCAACAAACAATTGGGCCCACACCTCGATATGGTGCGTCCCAACTCTGATCCTGAACAGTGTCAAGCCCTGTCGTAGTGTCAGCGCTTCAGTGCCGATGGAGTGACCCCAAGCAAAGTACGCCAAAGACGATGAGGCCATACTCAGCCTCAGTCGCGTTATGGTGTAAATTGTCGCCAAGTTGGCTTTAGCTGCAGGTAATAGAAGCCCACCACTTCTGACGTCATCCAGTTGAGAAGGCGCCAGGCCGTCCGATCCGCGCGAGCTGCTACCTTCCAAGCCGCCTGTCCATAGAAAGCTGAAGATCTCAGATATACAAGTACCCATATAGGTCTCATCGTGAACGCTTACAGGAAAGCTTTCGGCGAAGACGGAAGAGGCCGTCGGGGAAGTCCCAGTCCCGTGCGATCCACGAATGTGGGGGTTCATTCAACACAACAAACATGCGCGCTGATCAAACAAAACACTTTGGTCAAACATACTGGATGTCAGATACGAATCTCTTGTACCTTTTTGGCTGTGGCCAAGAACGTGCAAATACGGATGTTGTGTGTGTCTGCTAACCCGCTACATTGTAGACATGTGAATTCTTAGTTTCTGTTTTACTTGAAGTCACTGGCCCATCTTGCCAGGCGGTGCCATATTCTTTACTGCCATGTAGCTCTTTGAAATACATCCTGTGCATACGCTCACCCCTTGGCGCATTGTTGCGGACCGGCTTACCGGTCGGTTCCACCTTGCCATAATGAACGACAGTCAACCTTGTGACTTAGCACCAAGTCAGCTCTTAACGTTACCCAGAGAACTACTCCTTTGCATTCTTGAACATCTCGATGCAAGGTCCTTGACGCAGGTGGAAAAGGCTTCTCGCGACCTCAGAGATGCCGCCAAAGCTGCCTTCAGGGCCGTTTATGGCCCTGGTATCCATCACCGCCAAGTTCAATCAGGGTTGTCGTTTCGCGAACTTGCGATTGAAGAACAACTATATGGCTGCGATGCGTTCGACACTGAGAAGGATATCAAATTTCTTTTGCGAGTTATGTACAACCAAGTGCCAGCGCCCACAGACAACGACAACGATGACTTTGCCGCTTTTGTCCTTATAAGCTTACGAAGGAGCCGGGCTGAGAATACGCCTGCCTGGCTGGAGACTGCAGCCCTTGCCCTCATGGTTCAGACCCGCATCGAGGAAGCCGACGCATACTATGAGCGCCTCGCGGCCCTTGGGCCTTTCCCGCCGGATGTTGCCCTCGCGCAGGCGCGGTTTGGCTCTTGCCAGCGATTCGCCACTACCTTGCAGAATCTTGCCAAACCACCGACCGCACATCAGCTCGCAAAATCGGCAGTGTGCGCTGCTGTCCGGGGAGATGTCGACTTGCTCGAGTATCTGTGCGCAAACTTCTTGGTACAGCTGAACTGGGCGTTCGGCGATCACACCACTGCATCTGTCGCTGCCTTCGGTGGACATATCAATGTGCTGGAGTTTCTCCACAACCGCGGTGTTAACATTGTATCTCCAACGCTACGGCCATTGCCAATTCTCACGGCTGTCAACTGTGGTCGCCAAGAGGCGGTGCAGTACCTGCTAGAAAGGGGGGCGCCCACCCGCCACAATGGGTTGCTTCTCGCTGCCAGCGCCATATCTCGAGGATTCTTGGATATCCTCCGTCTGATTTCCGAAGTCAGGACCCTTCCGAACGCCGACCTCGCCGGGAGACTGCTCATCGGATACGCTGTAGAGTCCGAGGTTGCTGAAAGGAGGAAAGCGACCATCGAGTTCCTCGTCACGGAAGCTAAGCTTGACATCAACGCTCTCGGCGTGGGTGGCACAGCACTTCACATTGCAGTCAAGTCTGGCAACAGAGACATTGTCGAATGTCTTTTGACACTCGGTGCAGACCCGCTCGCCAAAGATCTTCTTGGACAGACTGTCTTTGAGCACGCTGTTTCCCACAATCGATCGATTGCCGAATGGTTGGCCAAGGAATACGGAGCATCCATCTCCAAGTTCGCGGCGCCGAAGGCTCGACTAGTCGCAGAGGTCATGCACTCGTGGACGCAAAACTGGATCTACCGACTGGCCGATTGGGTTCAGGACAGAGTCCTGGTCTCGGCACAGGATACTAAAATCCAAGCTGTCAGGCGTGCATGGAGCGCGCACGGCATGAACGAGAAGCTCTCTAGTATATGGTTGCGCAATCAATCGCTTACAGCATTACAATGGTATGTGGGCGAGTTCCGAGGCAGGGACGTGGAGAAGTGTTACCTGGATGCCGCCGCAATCTCTTTCAGTCTAAATCGGGTGATCGATACAAGACAGGGTTTGGTAACGAGGGAGCACAGCAAGCCAATCAAAGACGACGAGCTATTGCAGGCGGCCCTCACGATCGCAACTGTGTACCACCCTTTCGAATCGATCATGCGCCGGGCGCTTGTGTCAGAGCTGCATCACAGAGTGCCCTCTGCGCGCATCCGTACACTCGGCCAAGTTCTTGCTGGTCCCGAGGCCCAAATGTTCCTGACGGGCCATGCGGCAATCGTCCGGCAGGAGGCCGAAGTATTCACGAAATTTATTGATTCACAACGTTGGCGGCTCCGGGCAAATGGATATTGACTGGTCCTGCTGGTGCAGGATGCTCCTCAGCGTCTGAAGTAATTTGACCTATGTGTTTCTTCGCGCGCAAAAGGGTGAGGACTCACAGAGGCACTTCTCTGCTAATGAATGAAGGATTAAAGCCCGCCGTGCTGAATCTTCACTGTGATAATGCAGATGTGAAGGCGGATAGAAAGGGACTTAGTTGAGTTCATCCAAGCTAAAAACATACGTAGAGGTAGAAAGTCGACCTGTCCTTGTACGTAAGAGCTTAGGGTTGTGTTAGGCGTGCGAGCAATATTGACGGTGATGTTTTATGCAGTGCCGATCTGGGAACAGACATCTAGGGTAGCACATTTTTACCAGCCAACTTCCTAACACTGGGTCATTATATCACCAAGCTTTAGACTCTTATTAGGTCTACATGAAGTCGCTACAGTCTTCCCATTAGGCATACTTTGAGGAACCGGCACCAAGCATGTCGCAAACGAAGCTCCATAATCACAGTCGAGATGGCTATCAAGGAAGAGCGAATCGTGTGATACTGCGCCAGAATGATTTCTTTCTACCAGTCAGATTCTTTGTTATCATCCTCAGGCTCTTATTATGCTACTTCTTCAAAGTCTTTCCATTGAAATCCTTCAGTGCCCAACACATTGTCGGGGTTGAAAGACACTCCACAAACTATGGACTAAACCTTGCACCACAAACAGAGCTAGACAGGGGCGCTTTGGGCAACATAGCAATGCAGAAGCTTTTGCCGCACGTGAAATTCCCATGGTAAGACAGGAATGCGGCTTGGTTGGAGATAATCTAGCTTAGTCAAACAAGGAGACGGGGACTCCTTCCGCAGCGCATCGTGTTGAGCATTTCTTAAACGTGCAGAAGTGAATGCCGGTGCCGTTAGCCGGCAGAGATTATAGAAACAAACAGATTTCTCAGGCTCCTAACTCGGCCATGAGCCACGATGCTTGCTAGTTGTTGTCAGCACGTGATGCTTGGTTTGAGCATTTGACCAAGCAAATGGACTAGCTGGTAACTCATCTACCATGGGCCTGCTATTGCACTACAGTTTGACTCGTGTTCGCTGAACACGATTGAACTCAATAAGACTTAGCCCACCAAGAATACAAGAAATACACGTCATGCACGTCACACGCATCGGGGGCATTATCGTATTGTTATTCATTCTGTGCCGCTTGTGGGTGACGTACCGTGGAACAGGCGGGCTTACACTCCTTTCGGCGAGTGAGTCGGACGTAGGAAAGACAGATTTTGCAACTCTCGGATTTGTGCGTCGAGCCGACGTAGGGGGACACATCAGGCTCTCCTCAACAATCAAATACATACAAAGTTGTGTCCAGCTTTCTCGCGATCTACCTGTCGACAGAGGTAATGTTACAAAGGTTGCGCCACGGCTCATTGTAGAGCCCATCGAGGCAAGGCTAGATCAACCCGGGTCTCTGCAGATAGAGCCGTGCGATGCGATTCTCCTACCATTCGAAAATGCATACCCACGATCAGCCAAATATAAACACCTGGCATTCGGTATGACCACGTCTTTGGTTCGTCTAAGTCAGAGCGTCGCCCCGATTGCTCATTGGGCCTCTGACCGCGGCACACTCCTCGTCGTGGTGATTGAAGACTACATCGGGCAGGAGGACGAAGTCGCCGACCTGCTTGCACAGTTTCACAGCCTCAAGATCAACGCCATCTTCGCACCGCCCATCGCCAGCAACCATTCTATGTCTCAATCACATTTTGCAGTTCTCAGCAAGATGCTCGCCGAAAGCGGGCCAGAGACAAAGTGGTTCGCTCTGCTTGACGACGACACCTTCTTTCCGCACCTGGAGCCTTTATCTACGGCACTCAGCTCTCTTGACCACGAAAACAAAGACCTTTATGTTGGCGGGCTGACGGAGGACTGGGGATCCCTGACACGATTCGGTCTCATGGCTTATGGCGGTGCTGGCGTATATCTCTCTGCACATCTGGCCAGGAAGATCGGCAAGCTGGACCAGCTCCTCCAGTGCATCGAGGAGTCCCCGCCTCAGTTGGGAGACATCATCATCCGTGACTGTGTCTACCGCCACAGTCGGGCGCGTCTGACCGTGCTGCCAAATCTGTAAGTCCTTCCACCGCAGCATTGATGTCTTGTGACAAGGGACTAACCTGCTCGATAAAGCTATCAACACGATTTGCTAGGCGACCTGCGCGGCTTTTTCGAATCTGGCGTTGATCCTTTAAACTTGCACCACTGGAAAAGCTGGTACAGCGAACCCGTAGTGTCCATGGCGCAGGCGACGAACTTTTGCGGGTAATTCATTCTCGTGAAGCACCGGGCTCCCAGCGACGTGTATGCTGACTAGGCGAGCTTGTGCCACAGGAACTGCTTCCTTCAACGATTCATCTTTGGCAACGATACTGTCCTTAGCAATGGGTACTCGATCACCTTGTACCCAAAGGGTGTGGATTCGCTCAATCTCAACAAGATAGAGCGAACATGGGGCAACGTCTACGCAGGCGAGGATCCGAAGTACGAGTACAGCATGGGGGCGCTGCGCGACAGGGTGCCCGACAGTGATCACAAAACGTACTACCTCAAATACACGGAAGCCAGGGTAGATCTCATGAGACAACTGTACGTGTGGAAAGGAGTCGAGGACCGTGGAATACCTGACGAAGTTGTCGAGCTGGTTTGGAGGAGATGACTCACCGGCAGGGTCATATCCTGCTCCGCAAATGGCCGAATATCATGTCGTGTAGGATTTCAATTCGGTAGCAAGGCCTCAGAGGGAGACCATATCCGTCGAAATCTGTCTGGCAGTCACAGAAGTGTGATGACTAGTAGGCAAGAAGGCAAAGCGTGGAAGCATGAATCACTATCTAGCCATCGACAGGCTGCTCGCCCTTCCCACTGTTCCTCCTTCCGATGACTGGAGAGTCGAGTCCTTATAATTGGGACGGGAAATGCAATTTGCCAGTAGAATGTTCTCAAGAGATAGACAGCTGTCCAGCAGTCGGGGCACTGGTGTGTACAGCCCCCTTATGCGTGCGCCGAGGTTGCCTGCTTGGGTCGACACAATAGTGGGCGACCGCACCGCCCGGAGGCTCGCGCTCTGTAAGAACCCCGATAATGACCGCTCGAGAGGATCATGCATTGGATGTGTGACCAGTGATGATCGCTTTGGTCTTCAATCGAGTACGGGGCGGGGACTTGCATTGGGCTGCTGGCAAGCGCCTTGCATGGCTACTACTAAAGATGGCACAGCTCTTTTGCCCGGCGCACATTATGAGCGACGCCACCCTTACATTCAGTGACTCGGAGCTCGGGCAGACTGAGCCTATACCGGTTTTAGATGGCGAGCCGACTCCTGGGACACCGAGCCTTGTACTACAATGTAGCAAGCATAGTGCAGAAGCCACGCGAATGGGCTTGCGTGACTACGCATCGGAACCAGCGGGCACGCCTCTCGGGCGCCCGGCGGCCGCAAGGTGGCAAATTGGAACAAACGAGACTCCCCTCGGATGCCGGACTGGGTTGTCGCGACGGGCCCGCCACAGCGCTGCGACCGCGGCGGCCCATGGCTTCCTTCGGGTCTTGCTTACCGGTTCAACATGTAGGTTGGTTGAGGCAGTGTCGCTCGGCGGGTCAACCGTTAGGGTGCAATCGCGGTCTGGGTCATAAGCCATGCACAGCACTTGGTTGGCGCTGCCCAGACTGTCGATGCATTGCTTGAAAATGCACAGAGTGCGTGCAAAAAGAACTGACAGGAAAAGTCATAGTCATCATATCATCGGTTCAGAGCAATGCAGCCTCGTATTGACGATTACAGTTCATTCCCGGCTTCAGATGGCCATAATGAAACTGCCTGTCTGCTCCGAGGGCTTGGACTAGGGCTGGTCCTGAGGCCCCCCTGGTGAAGGTCTGATTGAGCGCCCTCATGCTTGCCCTCATGCTTGCCCATCTTTGAGCTTGTACGGGGACAAGGACCCTGGGAGTGTCCTGACATGCAAAGGCCACCTACCCGCAGCTCTCGAATGTTCTTTGCAGGCTGGGGATACTCGACTCCTCCTGCTTGTCATCATACTTGCGTCCGGCGAAGGCGGCCAGAACTCCCTCCATCCATGTATGGTCATTCTGTGCGGCCAAGCAGACCACCCCGGCTCTGAAGAAACATATCTCCAGGAGAGTGCGAGCGCCCATAGGTGGCCAGGTGGGGTTATGTGGTGCGGAGGTGAAGCCGGCCCCACTGTGAGGGGGGGTCGCCAGGCACCCAGCGTCGCTGGCTGTCAGGCATCCGCCGTCAATGCACCCTGTCACTGGAGGTGCTCAAGAGGCACTTCCCCCAAAACCCATCACCAGGCCGTCACTCTTTTCTCCATCATTAACATCAACCCCCATCTGCTTCACGGGTGCACAGCCAGCACCGGGGTAAGCGCACCATTTGAGACCGTCTCCAGCACCTGCCAATACACCAGACAGGGCGATCCTGAATCCTTGAGTCCGCATTCGTGTGCTGACCCCGCAATCACCTCTTCTTTCTTACAGGACAGAGACCAAGCCAAACATTCTTCGTCTACAAAGTCTCTGGGCAGAGGCAGTCGTAATCCCACCAAGTGGCAAGAAAGACCCGCCAGGAGAACGTACACATGGACAGGTTGTCTTCCGAGCTTGGCCCTGCGGCCCGCTCCGACGATTACGCCGATCACGTTAATCACCTTGAGCGCGCAAGACCCTTACCCGACACAGCGATGCACACGAACCAGCTCTGCGTCCCGGCAGCCTAGGAGGACTGGGACACAGATACCAAGGATCTCCTGCAAGAGCTCTGTGAGGGCGTTATCCACCACATCTTGTCGCTCGACGATCGCTTCCGCTTCGAGCACGAAGTAGTCTTCGCCGCAGTCAACATTGCTCTCCGCGCCATCATCAACCCCGACGAATGGGCCATTGCTGAGCTGACCAAGGAGGTGCTCTACGCGAAGGTCGGCAGCGCCTGTCTTGACATCGCGATTGGCCTCAGTACGGTCGATGAAGCCATCATTGAGGCGATGCTGGAGACCGCAGTCATGGATGCAGACCGGCAGCTCTCCAGGGATAGCATTCTCAGCACACGAGCGAGCATCCTGCACCGTATTCATCACGTCATCGGTCCAACCCCGATCCCCTTCCTCGACTTTGTGTACCCTCCCGACTCGCGCACACCCTTGGATCAATACATGCGCTTCGAGGTCTTGCGTGTTCTTCGGGCTGCACTGGTGGAGCCGTCCTTCTTCTCTTGCTCTGCGAGTCAGATGGTGGCTGCGGCAGTCTCTGCATCGTGGCGTCGTCGGTTCGGAATCCCCTGGGCGGAGCCGCTCGATGCCCTTACCGGCCACCATTACGCAGAGATCAAGTGGATAGCGGACCTTCTGTAAGATCGCAAGCGAGTTGCATGCGGTGCTTGCTCTCAGTTCAGTATCCTCAACAAGAGTGTTTATGTATTAGGAAGGCTGTTCGTAGAGACTGTCAGTGGGACTCATGGATTTCTTGCCCTACTCAGCTCCCATCGTGGCGGTTCTGGATGAGCAGTAGCTCTGGACCAGCATGGTGTCTAGCAGTGTATATGCCGGCTATTCATGGTGGATTATCAGTCATGTCTTCATAGAGCTAGCCAGCGCACTTCGTGTATTGTCTGTTAGGAATGATTTCTGAGCTTTTCTTGACTCAACCGCTATGTGTGTGACCGGACAAGTCAAGCTCAACTGGACGTCCACCACTACGCGTAGCATCACATCACTTCTCTAGCGGTCCTTACATAAGTGCTTTCTGAGGCAAGTAATCAAATGGAGTTCCAGGAGCACCTAAATCATCACCCAGGCTTCATTCTCTACTAGTCGCAATCCGCTTGGGTTCGCTGATAGCATCTGTTCACAAGGAGTCTCAGTCTGTTAATGGACTAATGTATTAATGGACAAGAACTCTCCGTGCACCATCTGCAGCTCGGAAGCTACATGTCATCTACACGGCACGGTTAGACGCAAGTACTTAAAGCCTTGTGAAAGCCAATTTGCCCGGATAGCGTGATAATCACAAAGCGGAACAGAAGCCGTCAGAAACAATACGAACGCCCGACCATTCTCTATACGTAGTCACGTCTCAACCCGAGAATCTATGGACTTGAACTTTTTTCACTAATATCGGGTCTGAACGTTCATTGGCATTCAGTGGACATGATTTTTCCTTCGTAGCATTAACTTCAATACTGCTGACGATAGAACTATGATTAATAACCCATTTGTCATTGTCGAGGATCTCTTTCAGGCTTTGCACGATTATCGACCTTTGCCACCTGGTGGCAGGTAATACACGAGCAAGCGATCTTACTCCTACATACTACAGCTTCCTGTGTCCTCTTACTTATTCAAGCCTGAATCTGCGTCGAACCTCTTCCTCTTCTGCAACACTGGCGCGGATCGGAGCTCTGTCTTGTACGTCGTTGCCGACATCATACCTAAGGAAGCCCTGGATGATACCTTTCCTGTCGAAGACGACGCTTCACAAGTCCCGGTGGAGCTGTGCTGACATTGTGGGATGCCCCACGCCGGAACAGTGAAATGCGCTCAGGCCATCCACCAGCGCCACCTCGTCGGCGCACCACCTCACTGTTGCACCCCACCCTCCTTCCTAAAGTGGCATGCGGGGTAGGACATCGCGGCTTAGCATTCGTCAGCTCTGTTGATTTCCAATCGCGCACCGGCGTGCCTATGCACGCACCCTTGCTTATGCCCAACCTGGTCGGAAGGAAGACAATAAGGATGTTTCTCCGTCTCCTGAGGTGCCTCGGGCTTGACCACCATTTATGACACTGCTACTACACACCCGACCCGGCGGCTGTGCTCGGACCGTAATGATGCCAAGCCAGTTCTGACTCCACTTAGTTCTTGTCGGACCCATGGCTGGAGCAGTTTGGTTGCAGCAGCATGCATGAGGCTGAAGTAATGGATGGATTATCGCCAAGGCAAATTCTCTTCTCGTGCAGCGTATTACTCTATAAAAAGCCTCTACCACAGTGTCTTCTCGCCCAGACTGGACCTGAACCCTCCTGCCATGTTTGAAAAATGCTTGTGCTGACGGACTGTGGAATGTCACCAGTTTCCTTGTTTGACGCGTCAGAGTCGTCTCCAAAGCGGCCCAATTTCAGCCGACTTATGGGCTCAAATGTGTAATCGAAGACACTTTTGCATTGTTGTCTTGTTAGAAGCCTCTCTTCGACTCTGCTTATGGCGCAGCGTACAGAACAGTATTTGTGTGCATTTGTGGAGTAGAAGACCCCTGCCAACTAGTTATGAGACGTTCAGCTGTGCGGCCATCTATTGTTACTGAGTAAGTTTATGTGTGCAATATCTTAGCTTGCGGGACGATTCGGTAACTACTGCGGCATCGAATAACGTGGAGCTCATTGGAAACCTATGTCGTGCCTGATCCAATTTCAGGGAGGGAGGTAGTAGCACGGCGAGACTGAAGACGCTTAATGAGAGGCAAACTCGAAGTTGCTATTCCCTAGTACGCCCAACGGAAAAGATGCTGTCGTAGGGTATCGAGGTTATGCAGCTCAGCAGGGCACTGCGCCCCAGATTCTTCTACCCATACAACGATGACTGTGATAGTTGCTTACCTCACGCCACTGGTAGTAGGCGCTCGGACAATCCGCCTAAGGACCACATCCACCAATTACACTGATCTGCTTCATAACAAGTAGTTTTGACACGTAAAGCTACTAAATCGGGCACTCGGTCATATACATGGGATTCAGGTCAGCCGAAGAAGGCAGGAACGGCAGTACGCTGCTGAGTTGTTCGGAAGGCACTTCGGCGTAACGAGACTGGCTGTCTCTGTACGGATCCTTGCTGAGCAGAGCACAATAGAAACGTATAATAAAGCTATATCAAGGTCGTAATAGGCCCTATGGCCTATGCTGTCTATTTAGTGTATCTTCCACATAAACATCACAAACGGTGACAAACATTGATAACAAACTGAAACAGGGTGGTTTTAAGACTGGCTGATCATATATCCGGCAGGAATAAAACGCCCCCAATTTCGTTGTCGAGTGCTGCGAGCCATTGGGGCACTGACAGCCAAACCAAGCGACAGTTGGCACGCACGAACGACGTCCTTTGACACCGTGAAGCTTTCACCATGGGGACCAGACGACGCGTAGTCGTCTCCTGGTTTCGGAAAGCCAAATCTACCTTCCAGCCATCGCACACCCCGAGCAAGCAGTTACCACCACAGGTGCCTGAAATACTCGTGTTCGTTGATGTCCCTGATATTGACAACATCCTCTGCTGCCTCTCCGTCATCAAAGCCCATCCTAATCACCGCGTCAATATCGTACTTACACCCCGCCCCGTCGACTTCACCGTCAAGCCTTACCCAGGTCCCGATGATGCGCCGGGACAACCCGGCCCGGTGGGAAGGGCCCTTTACAACATCATCCCTCGTCTGCCAAATGGCAAGCCCGATACCACCACTATGGTTAGACGCAGGATGCAAGCATACACGACGCCGCCCGATTGGGTGAAAGAAATCGAGGACGAGGAAGTACTGCCATACTTTGCCACTCCAGATCGGGTCTTCGAGGCCAATGACTCGAATGGGCTCAAGAAGGACACATGCCACTACATGAAAGCGTCTGCCTGGCGCATTTTTGACATGCTGTGCGAAGCCGGAGTCATTTCATCCGACACTCTCATTCGCTTTTTTTGGGACCTGGAATCAATGGAAAAGGTCGCGCCAGGACTAAGGCACGCGGCTCACGTGGCCGACTTCACATACGGCTATACCACGAAGATTCACCCGCCCAAAAATGAGACACCCAAACAGAAGAAAAAGAGAGAATCAAAACAGGAAAACGCCAAAGCAATGCTTACCCGATTTCAAGAGATACTGCTGGAGGAGGATCCGGAGAAACGCAGGGAGATGTTGCGGGGGTACTGTGACATTTTCAGCCAGGCCATGGCGACGAAGTACAACCGCAAAAGCATCCTGTCGCCCTTCGACGACTTGATCGCAGAGCAGACGACATCATCGGCCAGCTTCCAACCAGGAGACTGGCAAGCCGTGATCGGCGGGCCTTTCACCGAAGCCTTGAAGTGGATCGAAAAGGGGGGCCGATTGTCAAAGGTGACGGGCATGGCCTTTTACACAAAGGGCAAGCACAACACTCTCCCCAACCAATTCAACGTCGGTGCCGACATCTGGTCAGCCTGGCATTTTCTTCAGAAAGTTAAGGAGAAGAATATTCCGTTCCTGATCATGCCGACAGAAATTGCCAAGGCACCAGAGTGGAAGATCAAGAAGGAGGACCTCGACACAATCTTTGCAGGGCACGAGGACATCAGGACAGTCGTCGAGGAGTTTACCAACCAGTCCAAAACTCTCCAAAGCATCACGCTCTTCGACTGGATCACTAGCATCATTGCGCGTGACCATAATATTCTACCTAGCAAGCCAGTTCTTCCTTACCTGGCGGAGGAGGTAGTGATCGAAAGCGAGGAGATCGTAGACGGCAAGAGCGTTAAGAAAAAGCACGTGGAAGTGCATGAAGTGCCGCTTCCAAAAGACTGGAACGCATCTACATATCCACCTAAATTTATACTTAGGGTCAGACCAGTCGACCCAGAAGAGGGCGGCAGCGTCAGGATGTGTTGGGATGACCCTGGCGAAGAACATGAGATCGTACGCGAGTTCCATCGCAGGGTCGTAAAGGAGATGAGGAAGGACCTCGAACCGGTCCCCAAAGAGGAGATGGCAAGGAGCTTACGTTGTAAAATATTTCATTGCTTTACTTGGATTAGTCAGAAGATTTAATTTTGGGGCACTCTGTGACAGTTTGCCCCAGCAACGTAGAGGGAGTTGGGGGAAAGGGGTAGCCTGTCCTAGTGTCCCAGTCATAGAATCTGTTGTTGCCTTGTACGCAAGCCGCGAGCCACAGGTGGAAATCCCGTCGTTTATACGTCCTCTGTATCCTCATGCTAGGTGCAATTTCTCGCCACTGTCCATGTTCAATATCATTACGATATCTGTAGCAGCCCCAAGCAACCCTGTTTGTGCCCCGTCTGCCGCCTTGGTGATGATCTCCTCCCTGCTCAGCCCATCGTCGGCCTGGACGACCAGTTTTGTTGTAAATTCGTATCCGAAAAGTGTTTTGAGCGGGATGAAGGGTAAATTGAGGTCGCGCAATATAGGGCGATGGTACCTTGAATTACTCTAAGATATCGAAAAGGGTCTTTGCTGAGACGGACGTCGTTCGAGGCTCGCTGTTTCTGGCAAGGTCCTCGATGTAGCTCGGCCTCCAATCCCGCCAGCTCGGTCGGGATGTCAGTTTTGCGCTCTAATGGACGCGACAAAGAAGGGCGCCTGGCCTAGCTAGGGACTTTGCCAAGTATCAAGAAATCGCTGTCGGCCCATACAGGCAGACACCCCGGCAGCAAGGCAACTGCTGCATGCTGAAATGTGGTTCGCAGGCCCATGGTCCATAAGTGATTGGCCTGCGTCACTGCGCTGCAGCGGCCGTCTGCAAGATGCGCTGTATTCGCTTCAGCGCACTGCTTCATCGACAGGGGCATCCGCCCAAGCTCCTCTAGAAGCTTTACAGCGTCTATGGAAATAAGTCTTACTTCAGGCTCGGCGGCTATGGAGACGAGGAAGTGGTGCAACGCATCGGAACCTTCGTCGCTCATCAGCGCAGGCAGCGAAACGTGCTGCTGAAGTACCTGTGTGCCGAGGTGGATCAGGCAGCTCCGGCGCGGGCGGCCATCAGACAGCCCGGTTCGCTGGACAGCCAGTCTGCATGAATGATGGCAGGTGCGTAGGTGTAGTTTTTGATATTGAAGCACGCACGATGATTAGCTAGAACATGGTGGAGTGGGCAATACGACGGCCAGTTCAGCAAAATCACTGCGGAGCCTTGCCCTACTGGCTTTACGGCGAGGCAGCCCCGCAGAAGGAACCGCGAGCGAGGCAGCCATTGTACCTCTGGATTCGATAAGGCAGGGGCGGGCCGGGGCTCGGGCTGCAGGTCGTCCCTGATATGCGGACAGTCTGCCTAATGCATGGCTAGCAAGAGCCATGGCGACGTCATGCAAAAAGCATGTAGCCGCCATACATCGGTTGACCCTGTTGAGACAACTGCACGGCTCGCATGCCGCTTGTGGCACGCAGCTCGGCATCGTGAATCCTCCATGGCCCCCTCGGGAGCCTCGCCGCAATCGTCCCGTGCAGCCCGGCTGCTTCTTCAACCCGACCCGCGTCATACCAGGAAGAGATATTCAACCTTGACCAGGGCAGGCCGGCAGGCGCATCCACCACCTGGACCGCATGAGAGGCTGCGTAAATGGACTGTAACCGCTACTTAAGCAAGGACAGTGGTGCACGGCTGAACATTGATTCGACTACATATGATATAATTATCGCCGACGAGACTTTGGGACAAGCGCGACTAGGGCAGGGATGAAGGCATCAAAAGCAGAGTTTCACGCTGATAATCTAGAGCTAGGATCAGTCGATAATAACACGGCCAGTGGCGCGATCTCGTCGTCGGCAGACGTGCCTACTTCGCAGGACGCTTCTCGTTAAAAGCCTACATCCACAATTAGCTCCGACGACCACGGCATATTATCCATAACGAAATACACCTTTCGACCACCTTCATTTTTCATAGAAATGTCTCGTGGTGACTTGCTCCTTAATTGACTGTCAGTCCCAGAGTCCCATCCTTCTAATGCACCACAGATCAGTGTAGCCCCACTCGTTACAGCATCAATAGTCTAACTTAAGCGCCACTCACGAACTATCCCAGACGAAGAACAGAAAATATCAAGGATGCTGAATTTGATATCATTGACAATTCCGTGGTGCTCTTGACGATGGGCTCTCGAACAGTACTTGGGCACTCGACCAATGGAGCTCAAGCCTGCTCCGCCCGCCGTTGGCCTCAAATTGGGACAATGCGACACAGGAAACCCGCAGAAGCGCCGGGCCTGCTGCCGCCCAACCTGCTTCGAGCCAACCGAGGCCGAGCGTCAGCCCTTCGTGGCTGTCCAGGATGTTATTTGCAGCAAATCATCGCAACCCCGACAAGCATCTTTTTCTGAACATCTATAAGTCTCTCGAGCGAGGCCTCCGCGTTATTGCTTATCACACCAAGAATGACTACGTTTGGTCCCCTTGTGCTGTTATCCCTTCAAGCCAAATCGTGTCTATGATATGCTTTAGCAGGTTGTGACTCGATTCGAACGAAAGGAGATAATCGGATGGCTCACCAATCACCACGCCCCGGGTTCGTCGCAGATGGAGTTCAGCTGTCGAAACGATGTGTAGAAGACTTTCAATTGAGACAAAGATGTTCAAGTGCGTGCGGCAGTTTCGAAATATAGTAGTGGGAAGCGGGCAGTCTTCACCAATAATTACATTATTGAGGTAGCAGAACTCGTTCATACCTCGAACGGCTATGCAGGATGGGACACAACATGGAGGGATGTTAATCACTCCTCTTAACGCATTATGCGAGCGGACATGATCTTCCTACTTGGACGATGTGACATTTGCGTATCGAATCCTCGCAAGCGTCCAAGGGGATCCAAACCGCGCTGGTCTGGATGCTTATACGCGCCAGAATGGCAAGAACCTCCTGCGCCTTGTACACAGCTTCGTAATCGAGGCCGTGGACATGGTAATACCGTGAGGCCGGACGGGTGGTAAAGAGAATAGACAGGGGCGGATCTAACTAGGCGAGGATGTCTTGGCTTCTGCGGTCTTTGAGATATCAAATCGAAAAACTGGACGCGTTTGTGTCTTCATTATGCTGCTCTTTCTATTCTCGGGCGCCCCTCCATCTGGTTTTTGAGCCACTCGGCAAGGTGTTCCAGGGAGGTTGCTTCCGCAAGACTAGAGTGCCCCAGGGGGTCTCGTTCGGATCCTTGGATGTCCACCCTCTTCAACCCTTGCAATGTACAAAGATTCTGTATGTCTGTATTATCCTTAAAGGACTCCAATCCAATCTTCTCTATCAGTTCACTATCGAATTGAAGAGATAAGTGCCGCAGCCGTTTGCACTGTTTCAAGAACTGGATACAAGTCGACGTGCTGCGGGAATTGCTTTCCCAAACTATTTGCAGCCATTCGATGTTCTCGCGTCCGATTTGACCAACTGCCATAAGGAACATGGTAGCGCTATGCGGGCTATCGAAGCAAAATTTGGTGAGGCGAAAGGCCAAGGGCAGCGCTTCCTCGCGTATCTGCTTATTGAGTCGAAGAACCGATGATGCTTTTCTTAATGGATAGTAGAAGCCGCTGGGGTCCCCTATACCCCGAGGAAAGTCATTGTGTTGGAAGTCATCGTTGTCTACAATTCTCCACTCCACTCGACGCAGCGCGAACATGTAGATGATTTGGCGAATCTCCGAGGGCAAAGTGCTTAGCAAGTCAGGCTTATGCTTAGAGTCAGGGTCAGGGTCAGGGTCAGGGTCAGGGGTAGTATTTCGAGGTGCTCTCATCAGCGTATAGAGCTAGGAAGATGATGCATCGTCAGCTTGGTATAAAGTTACAGCCGTATTACACGATCGTGAACGTGGGGAGGACACCGACCTTCGCCGTAGACTGCACGTGCGACGCCTCGGATTCGGAAAAGAGGAAGGCAAGTTTCAGTCCGAACACGTAGTGAATATCAACATGAAAATTGTAGGAGCCAGCACCACGATCATGGCCAAGTATTACTGAGTCGCCGTGATACATCACTGTCTGGAGAGCGCTTTGTCAGCAGCCCGCCTCATCGTGTTCAATTTGCTAGGTTTACCTCAATTTGCCCTTGCGCCAGGGAAACGGGTCCGCTTCCCTTTCCACGCTTACCCCTGGGAAACTTTTCGTGTTCTCTCTCGATTCGCTGGCGACGGTCGCTGGGAACAGGGTCAAAGTCGGAGAAGAGGCGCGGCGTGCCCGAAGGCGTTGAGCCGCTCGACAAGGTCCCAGCTCGAATCCCATCTCTCATGTCCACTTCGGTCTTGATGGGGCTACACTTTGCCATGGCTGTGCCAGTGTGAAAGTAGATGAACCAAAACAAACATACAGAAGAAGTTGTGGTAGTACAGTACCATCTTAGAAGCGTTCAGTGAAGACCATATACACCACCACAGTATCTTGTTGGCCCTGCTGGACGGGCATCCGTCACCTCATATTCCAGGAATGCTCATGGTGGAGGACTGTTGAATACTATGGTAGGTACTCGTCTCCATGTCTGACCAACCCGGCCCTAATTTCCTCGGGCCCCATGTCCAATTTCCCTTGAAGGCGCAGCATGATTTGTGGAGTTGAAGGCATGTGTGGGGGTTTGTTCGAACAAGGTGTGTAGACATGGGTGGGGGTTTGTTGGTTCCCCTGTGTGGGTACAGGTCGCGGAGACAGGTGGGGGTTTGTTCGGACAGGTTTGTGGACACGGCTGGGGATTTGTGGGCGCAGGTCTGTGAGTACAGGGGTCCAACATAAGCACGAGACCAACAACGAAGTCACACAAAAGAAAGGGGAGATTGCGTCTAGCATACAGGTCTGCAGAGTTTATTCAAGCGCATCGCGTAGACCCAGGCGTGCACTGTCGCGAGCGAGTAGTTCCAGCCCCACCTACTAATGCTCTGCCCAGCAGACCGTCCACTCTCAAGGCACCGTTGTCATACATTCTGGAGGGATGCGCTCTCGTGCGACTTGCATATAAACGGCACGCGAGGGTCTCATTTTGTAGAGCCAGGACAACACGCGGAGTGGTCTAAAGCGAACGCCGTTCCCCCAGCCTCCTGCTTCATTCAGCTCGATTATTTGTCTAATTACCCTCAAGTCTTTCTGACGAACATCTGCTTGACTAATATACAATTATCGATTGATGAAACATGACATTGGCGCTGAAGCTGTGAAGCGGCGCCTCAGAGGATCATATCCCAAGGCTCCTAAATAGACCTGTGATAAACACTTAAACATGGACAATGAATGGCCGGCTTGCCTGGTCGAGCCGGTTTGCCTGACTGTCTCAACCCCCCATGATAGCCCACACTGAGCCTGCAAGGTCGCCTTGTCACTTTGTCCCGTTGATCTGCAACTCTTGGGGAAAGCTCCTAAAATGGATCGTGGCTGCACGATGGTGCCGAAACCTTGCGGCTACCATGCCCGGTTGAAAGCCTTGTCTCCTGCTGATTCGACGCGAGGACGGAGCCTGTAGCCTTGCGACTGGACCAATCAACCTTCGCTATTGGCAATTTCTTGGTGAAATGGCTTGCAGGGTGTCCCTGCCGAGGAACACCGGGGGCACCGTCCGTATGCAAAGCCTGCTTTGTTGGTTGGTCATGTGACCCATTGATGAATAGTCGGTCATTCTGTCCGCTGTCCTCAAACTGCCATGGTCACTTTGTCCGTGGTCCTACTCTCGTATGTATTCGTCGCATCCACGGTGGGGAACGCACACTCGTGGTGCCATTCCGCGTTCTGCAAAGTGATGCCGATCTGCTCTGACCATTGATGACAACAGCAGGGCAACTGGCTGACACATATGATTGGCGTGCCAATCACAGAGGCTTGTCGGCACCCGTCATGACTACGTCGGAAGGTACTATCGACGAGTGCCCTGCGTCGTTTGTGGTGGCGTCAAGAAGACTGAAAGTGGTGAACGACTCGTTGACGGCAAGCCAATGTTGGCCTCTCGCGAGACGAGTCGCTAGCCACAAGATCCGCTCACGTCTCTCATCAGTCATTGACGCGACTTCAAAATACTTCTCATCATCGTCAATCTTGTCGTCCGCGAAGAAGTCATCTGGGTAATAGTTGGTTGTCCACGTCAGCCCCTTCATGGCGAAATCTTCGGGAAGGGGGCGTGGAGTCGCCCTGCCGGCAGGCAAAGGAAACTCTTCGCTCTGGAGGCGCTCGTGGGTGCGGTATGAGAGAAGCATCGAATTGAGCAGCTCACAGACCAGTTCCCAAGGGAACGATGTTCCGACCGTATCAACAACGTTGTTGTACTGAGCCGCATGATAGAGAAACGCCAAGGACACGTGGAAGAACGGAAAGACGCTGTCGTCCCCACGCCGCTTCAGAACAACGCCTGCTGTCCCATTTGCCAATCGTAGAGCATCCTGCACGTCTGGGTCCGATGCGGTGTCGTGAGGCGTAGCTTCCTGTTTGAGCTTTTGTGCTTCGGCGGGTTCAGCCTTTTGCTGAAAAGCTTTCGCAATAAAATTGTCCTCCTTCCCGTAGCCCATGATGGCACAGCTGTTGGCCACAGCCGTGTAATAGCCAAACTCCATCCAGCGCCTGCCGATTTTGGTGATATGGTTGTCCAGCGCAGCAAGGAAACTATTCGTTGAAGACTCGAGCTCGTCCCGAGACTGTCCAGTGAACAAGATCCCATGACACTTGACGTACTCTGCTTCGATCGACGCGAGCTTGAGAGCCTTCCTTGGTCTCTTTAGCAGCGGATCGAATAAGGTAAGGATAGACTCGCGCGCCGAAAGGAAAGGTGCTGGCGCGCAAAGTGATTTTGCGTAGTAAAAGAGTTGCTGCAGGGCGTTTGGTCTGGCCAGGATGGCCAAGTGATGGTACAAGCGACCGGTCGGGGGTGCCTTGTCGCTTGCTCTGGAGTACCAGTGGCGGGCGACTGATGTCCAGATCTCCCGATCACGAATGTCATCGTCCTCTATCGCCATCCTGTAGCGAGAGAGATCGCCCAGACATTCGATCCACGTGTCCTCGAATGCAGGAACGGTCTCGTACAGGAGAGCCATCATTGAGTAAGCCAAGTAGATGAAGGTGAGCATGTATTCGAGCGAGGCTGGCAGACGATGCCGGAGAAGTTCGAGGAATGAATGAATACCATGGCGCCACATACGCGCGGGCATGGCATATTTGGTGGCAAGTCGCTTCAGAGCCGGGCTCGCCGCTGGATGCTGGCTGGCCAAAAAGAAGTCATGATGCTCATGGAGCAGTGTCCGATGAAGAGCTATAAGGGCTTGCCATTGTTCGTTGTTCAACTTTGCATCATTCTCTGAGGACTGTGCATTATCAACCTCTATGCATTTCGACTCAACCATGACCAGCCCGGCGTAGATGCCCTTCACCTCCGCAACAAGCTGATCTTGACTGATTGCGCGAGTCTCGAGCTGTTTGAAGGGCTCCTCCACAGCCGCAGGCAACGGCTCGGCAACCTGCGGTCTGGTTGGCTTCTGCGGCGAGCCATCCTTTTGCGGTGTCCACAAAGAGCCACCACTCGTTGTCGACCTTTTAAAGCCGGGGTCATGGTCAATGTTGGCGTTGAACTGTGCCCTCGATAGCCGTTGAGGGCTGGAGCTGCGGCCTCGAGCTGTGGCGGATGAGTCTGAGCTCTTGCTCCTCTTTTTGGGGTTTAAGGGGGATGTGTCGTCCTTTGGGGGCGACTCGTCCTCGTTCACCTCTAGGGCCAATGACGGGATGCTGGACACCGTAGAGCTCGGCGCACTTGGCTTTTTGCTCTGCGGTCTGCCGTCCCAAGTCAGCGTGGGAACATGAGACGTTGAGCAGGTCGCTCGCCGTGGCCTGGAGTCTTCAAAAAGCCGCATGCACAGGCGAGCATGGGCAGGACGCGCGGGAAATAGTGCCCCATGCTGGAGGGCCCGACACCACACTTACCTGCGAAATTCGGAGACCAATACCGCAAGGTCGTGCGTGCTCAGCATATCTGAATGGGCTGATTTGATGTGCTCCTTGATGGCGTGCTCGACAGCATCTACGTCCTTGCCACAGCCGCCTAGAGGACAGCTGATCTTTGCAGATCGCCCTAGGAAGCTCGTGTACGAGTTTTCGATGCCCTTGCCCTTGGACATGATGTACGAAGAAGCAACGAAATCTGCACGCTCTGGCGCAGTAGACGGCCTCAGGCTTAGGGACTTGAGTAGCACGGATGCTGTGTGCCCAGGATCTGGATGCCGGCAGTATCACACGACGAAACCTCGCACTAGAGTTTGAACGTGACGGTTGGTGCTCTACTCCTTCCGTGGTGGCACTGGTCCTCGAAAGAGCCAGATATTCGGTGTAGCTTCGCGAGACGCTGTGTGAACGCCGATGCTGTTAATCTGAAGCGATATGTCAGCACTCGAAAGGCGGCGAGGGAGGTCTGCCCAAAGAGCAGCCAGTGGTGCCGGTCGGACAGTGCGGGTGTCATTACGCATGCTTCGGAACCACAGAAGCTTCTCTTGACGGCAAACAGGACGCGGCTGGGCTGGACTTACCCTTATTCGTAGACCGCTAGCTTTTGGAGTAGCACCGTTGACGGAGAAATTATGCGGAATAAGTCGACAGGTCTGTTCTGAAGGGCGATGGACATGATGTTTTCGACCGGACACAAGGCAACTTAAAGCGCTCATGGACGTCGCTTTTGGGCAGCCTGCGGCTGGTGGGCGTAGCCTACCCGAGTGGTGCGCGCACCATGTTGCCGGAATACATAACGCTCAAGTCATTGTCCTACAAAAGCACGCTGAGCACTAACGCCAATCAGCAGAACGTGGTGCACAGAGAGGTGTACCGCTAATCTTCGGCCTTTCTACGTACTAAGGGACGGAGCTGGTGTCCCGGGCGGACCGCTGTAGTATTTCAGACCTCCGACAAACTTCAGGTAGTGTCTCCGCAAGTTATTTGTACAACCTACTATGGTACATCGTCCAACTGATTCATTTTCAGTCGCATGCAATCCTTCGCGTTCTAGGCGACGTGAGGGTAACCTGCCCGGAACACCAGATACTCGCTCGGCAGACACAGCGTGCCAGCTGTCGCGTACGTCAGGGACTCCTACTTGAACTATCCCACAATACGGGCGAGACTCATTTCGTGGTCATCACCCATACGAGAACGCATCGTCGAGGACGAGAAGAAACATCAACTGTAGGTCTTAATCTAAATCCGTCCAGATGAACGATCACCCGTATTGATATCTTGTGCTCTACAGGAGCCATCCAACCTCACCAGTCATTCACTTCTCGATCATACTCACGAACCATGGCCAAATTACTGGGCAATGCGAACGGTTGTGACAGCTCATGTGCAACCCACGGCTGCCAATTCAACCTCATGCTGGCCAAGTTCAAGTTTGCCGTTCTTCCCGTCGTCAAGGAGGAAGCATCCGTTACGCAACACCCCGGATTTCAGATTCCGATCCAGTACCTGATCAAGGGGTCCGCTGCTCTCAGTCTGTGCGAGAGGCTCCCGTACACGAAATTCGTCGAGCACCTCAAACTACAGGGATTCGATATCAGAACAAAGCGGATATCGATCGAGCTTCACCTTCCCGGAATCGGCTCGCATGAGATATTCAATAAGGAGACTTGGGACGAGAATATGATATTCCTGCGGAGTCGCGGCACGGAGTTTTGCAGCGTCGATGAGATCATTCGTGTCTACTACTTCAACATAACGCTCTTCCACCTGGACCTCTGCCTACAGGAGAACCAGGCATGTCAAACCTGCCTGTCCCGCCTACCTTTAGACGTCCTGCTACGATAACGGGTCCTGAGGTCGAATAGGCGAGGGAGTGATCCTTGGAGGGATTGTCGTTTCGGCAGCTACAGATCTCGCTCTGTGACGCAGTGGTTATTGCCAGCAAGCGCAAGCTGGGATCTCAAACACTGGAGGCACTGGGAAGGGAGGCCAAGCAGATGTTGTGAAGCTGCATCGGTCAGGCCTCCTCCGCCTGTTTTCAAGACCAAGAATCGCGTCGGGAGGGAAAATGGTGAAGTGGATGGAGTTTACCAGACAACTTCTCTGAGTACTTAGCATTCTTAACATGGGGCACATTGATACTTATCACAAGTATGTTTGCGGGCGTATGCGAGAAATGTATCTGTGGGCTTCAAAAATAACGCTCCTAAGCTCCAAAGACTGATTGATCGTGCTTGTAGTGCTATTAGGCACGCCTATGAGGTTTTGGGGAGTCCAGAAGATGTCTCAGGGACCTCGAACTAATCTTCAGGAGCAGAGCATTACAGGCCAGGCAACAGGGAATACAACCAAGTTTCTCGCACCTCAAAGTGCCTTGCGTGCCACAGTTACAGCCGGCGAGACTTTGGTGCACGCGCCCACCGCACTCCCGGCCGAAGCCTCTAAATACGCAGCCTCAATCTTTTTGCGGAATTGTACCCCGCGATCGCCTGCCATCACATCGCTGTGGCTGAACTCGTCCAGTACGTTCAGCTGCGACCAGGTCAATGCCTGGTACAGCACCGGTGGGGGATCGCAAAAGCGCTGCACTGCGTCGGTAAAGCCTTCCTTCTCGAGCAGGCTAGGAATCTGTGTGACCCAGCTATATTGCATCAATGTGTCAGAAGAGGGTTTGGTCGTTTTGGTCAGGATTAGGGAAGCAAAAATAGCATCACCTGAGGCTGGCTTAGGCATCAAAAAGAGGAGCTTACGTAAAGTCAAAAGCCTTTGTTACCACGCCGAAAATCTCATCCATCTCGGTCGTACTGGTATCGATGCCGGCACCCTCGCGTACGAGGATGCGGTGGTGGCCGAGAGGCTCTACTTCTTCCCATTGCAAAATGCCACCAGGTTCTAATAGTCATGAAAGCATTATTAGTTCTCTGAGCTTTTGCACCCACATCCCTGACCCGTGTCGATTTGCCAGCTCGTGCTGCGTTGATTTCACATTTCTATAAAATTCTGACTAACTTAGAAGTTTGTGCACGTGACGAATTATTCGCCGCGGATCATCAAGTTGTCGAGCCACTAAGACCACGAGCCTGATATGGACGAGGTCGAACGTGCCCCACAGCTCGTTGGGAGGATCAGTCAGGATATCTCTGACGTCAAAGCTGAGGTTCTCTGGGAGCCAGGCAGCGTGCGGGAATTGCATTGAGGAGATGTCGAAGCCATGTAGGGCAAGGGCGAGATCCTGGAGCTCTGACGAGCGGGAAAGGTCTAGAAGCCAGATCCTAAAGCGTGTGAAAAAGAATTCAGTCGGTGCGACTGTCAGGAAATGCTGCTCTGCCCTAAAACAAGTAATTTAAGGACTGGGTTATGACGACCCACCCTGTTCCTGTCGCTAAATCCGCGACTTTGAGGCGCCCTGTCTCGGCAGAAGTACGCAGTTGCTCACGAACCCACGGATGCAGAAGATACCGCTGTGTTTCTTTCCATAGATAATGCTGGAGATTCAGTCTATGTCGAGTCTTATTAGCGCATGTGCAAATGCATACGTAGGTCTGAAGTTTCATACTTACCGCGATGCGGCTGCGTAGCCACGGGCTAGAACGTACTTGTCATCCGACTTGATGTTCTGGGAGCTGTCGACCGTGATTTGCTGCCGGGGTTGCGATCGCAGAGCGGCATGCGCCATTTCGTGTTTGTTCTGTTAATACTCGGCCGCGACTTCTTATCGGCGACCAAAACTGATGATGGGAGCAGTCGCACCTTAGTGTGCCGACTTGGGGCATTTATTAACTTATTATGCCATGGCTTACGAACTTGTTTGCTTGCCGGCGGACAAGACATCCGTTGACTTTGTTGTTTCTCAAGTGAGGTCGCGTCACACCAAAACCCCGCGTGCATTGGGGGTGGCTCCTTAACAGTGTTGGTCTGCTCGCTAGCAGTCGGAAAGGGAAGAGTAGTTTCTTACATATTTTGACAATAACAGACATTGCCGCACTCACAGTCCTCGAGGTCGTTGGCATATTCGTGCGGTCCTCGCCCCTCCCGCCCTTGCTCAGGACCGTGTAGTGTCCATCCATGGTGGCCCGCTCTGGCGCCTCAAAGTCCCTGCGCATGGTGTTCAAGAACCACTGGGGACGGTCTCGATCCTTCCGGAACTCCCTCTCTCCAATGTTCGATGGGGACTTCAGCATGTCGCTGTCATTCAAGTATCTGCGCCTGCTATCTAGATGTTCGGTAAGACTGCGACCGCGGTGGGCCGGTTGCATTGTTGCACTCGGACTTCACGACGCACCTTATATGGTGGGTTGGCCAGCGTGATCGCGGCCTATTGGAGCAGGGCACGAGGTCGTCTCTGGGCGAAAATCGGGGCCTTGCTGCTATGGCTCGAGTGGGGCTTTTCGAATGACCGCCGGAGGCCGAGGGAGCGGACATCAGGGCCCCACTTGATGCAGGAGGCCAAATTCTTCTCCGACAGGTGATGGCGAGCACGTATTGGGCCCGGACATGCACCACGGCCGATGACTGCTACGATATGCACGGGGTCATGGCGACGATTACTTATTATTGACAAATAACAAGCCGTATGAGTAAGCTCTCGCGGTCTTCAATCGCCGGCCGGCCGCCCAAACAGCTGCGATGCAGACGGTGCCTTCCCTGCCGCACGCGCAAACGCTCCATCTTGACCCAGATGACCGTAGCTAACGGCCTTCCGGGGTAATCCCCTGCACAAAAGAGGCTCTGGCCCTGTGCGCTGCCAAGAGACAGCCCAAGCACAACACCAGCAAAACCTCTCCACAAATCCCATTATATCGCTGTCTCTTCCCCCACGTTTGCAAGCCTTAATTCATACACGTCGGTCGCCGGGTGTATCCAGTCCTTCAACGGCGGAGTCGTCAGCAGCTGGCTAGCTTCGCGCGTGAAGGCGCCAGTCACGGGTTGCATCGCAAACAGGGCGGCTGAGTCGGCATGAGGCCCTCCTACAAGCCAGCTGGTAATGTCAGTATCTTGTAGACACAGTAATTCAGGCTGAAGATGTCCGTGGACCCATACTTGCCGCAGATCCCCAAATGTCAACCGACCGAGGTGCAGGAGATGCCCGATGGTAATGTCAGCGGCGCACAGCGACAGCATGCTAATGGTGCTGGAACACTGTTTCACTATGAAGTGGAGATGTTCTGGAGGTGGTATGACGCCGTGTAGTTGCAGTTCGGACAGCCCGAGAGCTCCCGGTCGTGGTGTGAGGAAAGCCTGGAGCACAGCATCCCACTCCTCTAGCGCTATGGGGGCCTGCCGACTGGAAACGCGCTGTCCTGTGAACCTCAGAACCTTGAGGGTGGGGAGAAGTAGCAGTCCGCGGGCGGACCACGCTAGACTGGTACTCGTTGCTGACCCCATGCTCACGCGTGCCGTCACGATGCTGATGAGGCTATGTACGGGTACTCGGCCAAACATCTCTAGGGTGATGTCCGTCCCCAGTATGACCTGGCCGACTTGTCCTCGGGGCGTCGGCGCCAGCGTTCTGCGGTTCCCATCGGCCGCTGCCCGCTTGGGGGAGGGATGATGTAGATGCACTGGACGTTTCGCATGGCCAGGATGCAGGAGATGAGTGTCGGCTGAAATTCCCTCATGGCGTCTGCGAGTGAGCGGAAAGGAGGAGCCCTGCTCTGGCCATGCTTCTGGCTGACGGGACTGAGCATAGTAGCCTTCGCCAGCTCCGTTGCGACCTCGTAAGACCTCTGGTAAAAGAGGGGCGGGCTGAACGATGTGCGAAGCCAGTCGGACAATTCGTGTATTGAGGCAGGGTACATTACCCAGTAAATGTCTCGGACATTTTCTGCGAGAGCTGGGTGCCGCGCAATCTCGACAAGGTTCTTCACGTCTCGGTCGAGGATGGAGATATACGCGGAGCTGTACAGGACACGCAGGTAGGATTGTTCATGACTGCAGACGGAGAGGCGTAGAGTTTTGATGTCCCGTATGTCAAGATGCGCCAGTATGAGATCTAAAAGTTCGGGCGGGAGCGACCCGAGAGACGCATGCGACCAAGCCTTCGTGCTGTTATCGCAAGTAGAGCCCTCCATCGCGATGAGGCAGACGCTCGGGTCTCCAGAATATTTGACGGACATATGGGTGGATTGCATGGGCTGTCTTGCATTAGTATTGTCTAGAGCCTGTAATGAGGGCATATGAGATGTACTGTGAGGCCCGGTCGACCATATTCAACCTGCGCGCGGAAGGAGGTTCAGCGCCTTGTACTGTGAGACTCCTCGAGGTTACCGTGATGTGAGAGCGCCGTGATGTGTCTGCAGTCTACTCTTTTGCTGGCGTGGAGCCGGGTGCAGGTCGTCACCTCGCAACTACCGGGGAGGAGGGAAATGAAAATAGACGCAGAGACGGGATGCGTGCCGGGCTTATTCTTCGAATTTGTGACGGTTGTCTAGCCTCGATGGTTCAATTAGGCGGCGTCATTTCTCACTCCTCTAGCTGCGGCAGCTCGGGGTGGTCTGCGAGGCAGGCATGAAACCACGGCAACGGTGCCACCGCCGCAGTCATGAATATCTAGGCAGCGATGAGCATGGCCCCAAAGCAAAGACCTCTGCTGCGTCTGATGATTGACGCCCTCGACCGCCCAGAAAACTGGCGATTAAGCTGTGAGCATTTACTAGGCCTGCACCACCGACCCTTCGCCGTTGCCCACCGTACAGGGCCCGGCCAGCCTGGTCGTTCTATGGAATAACGCATGCGGCGACCGTCTCGATCTGGCCAGAGGCAAGGCTCGCCCCCCGAGAAGACACAAGCGGGTCAGTTACAGAATCCTGCGTACCACACACCAATACAAAGGATCTAGATCATGGCCAGTAGCCCACCAGTAATCCATTTTGTCGTCACGAAGGGCTATTATAGGCGATCAGTGTCTTAGCATCTAGAACCCCCTTGTCCCATGGTCTACCTACCACTCAAAGCTGGTGCCGGCACAGTCAAACGACACAACCAGCGGTCACAACCACCCGACTGCAAAGTCGCACAGGGGTTGCGATTCCCTTATAAGCAGGGCACGGTAGTCCAGAACCAGCGTCGACTAGGCAGGTTACCACAAAGGCCCAGCCACTGGAGCCATCATGGGTTGAGCATTACAGCAAGCGAAGATCGCAGCTGCTCCAGGTGCGGCTAATTGGACATGGCGGTGCCCCCTCACCACAAAACGGCCCCAGCCAACATATCAACTGGTACAAGAATGTCTGATGCTTCGAGGCTTTGCCACTATCGGATGAGCATAGAGCCATTGAATGATGATTGGGAAAGGCATAACGAGTCTATCCTACGTAAGCCCTGGCACTCTCAGTGCACTCAAGTACACGGACGCGACTGCCGGTCAGACGGAGTCGAAATAGCAAATACCTTGGGTGTTACGCAAACTCATCAAATGGTGCCCTGGGACCCCAGGTGTAGAAGGAGACAAAGCAGGGGGTGCCAAGGACGGGCCACTGGACGCTGAGGCAACTCCCGCGAATAGGTTACCTCCTGTCTTTATATTCCCGGTCCCGCGTGCATTCATATCGGCTTCCTTCTTGGAGATTCCTGAAGGACGCTGAGAATTGGTAGACATCGAGCCCGCCTCTTGGTTCTGCTATTCGGCATGTATGGCTTTGCTGACCATCCATGGGTGGCGTATCTCCTTGACCAGCGCCAGGCAGTAAAACGAATGGCAGAGGCCAAGTATCGACAATAAGATAGAGGCCGCGCGCCGTGGACAACCACTCTCACAATCGCTGTTATTGGCACCCCTATTGGTCTACAGAAATACTGCTCCTTTTCATAATTATGTAAGTTGAATGTACAATTGAAACGTTAACGCACAATCTTAACTGAAACCTGAATACCTGTCTACCTCGTTTACGTTATACTGCTATTTGAGCATGTCATTTCTCTTTGTTATCCTACAATTAGCAGGAAACGCGAACCAGTAGTTATCCTCCTCCCATGGACAAGCCCTTATACGACGGGTATTTAACTTGGCCAATAGCACAATCGTCCTGACCGTCTTGTCTCTTCCATTACCGCCAAAACTGGCACCACAGCGAAAGTCGATATATCATGACGTTCTTACATAAAATCTACCTGCTACTTGCTACCACCGCCGTGGCTTTTGCTTCCCCACAGGCTATCTCAAGCCATGTCAACCTTGCCCCTGGATATGATAGTGGCCACGCCGACATCGCCGTATCCGACATCGCGCAACCCTCCACGTTATCCTCCGCTACCTTCCCTAAGCGTGAAAGAACATTTGAGGATGTCCGCTGCGGTTGTGGTATCAAACTGAACAGGGGCGCCGTTGACAATGCTAGAGAGAGATTTTTCAATCAAATGGACGACTTTCCAGAACTCGCCAGGGTTCCTATAGGGAAGAACTTCACCGCCATTGACCCTGGTCACCAGGTAAAGGCCTTTGTTATCAACTACACCCAAGAGCCATTTACTATCACGAACGAAGATCTTAGGGCTGCGTGGGAGGTGATCGCCAACGCTTGCGGTGGGGAAGACGTACCAGGGACAGCAGGAATCTACGACCAAGGGGCGGACATCAGATCCGGATTAGCGTTTGGCTACATGGAAAATGATAGATATGACGCGGAGAATTGGGATGGGAGCATATGGGCGTCGACCTTGGAAACATGCCCTTAGACTGCGAACATGGTTCTCTTCTAGTCTCCAGATCTACGGCCATTAAGAAAACTGGGACCTGTGAGAATGATGTCTGGATTCCGCAAAAGAAAGGGTACGGCGTTGCTTTGATCTTCGATCTGACCAGTAATTGTAACAACTCGAACTTAACAAAGAATAGTTTTGGGGGACAAAGAGCACTGCAAGATTAGGCCAAGAAAAAGGCGGAGTGGACGATTCATTTATACACCTTATAATCATCAGGACATAAAGCCAGCGATTGGCAGTGGCGGCAGGATGAAAGATGAAGAAAGAAGCAGGATATGGGTTACATGAGTTTCCGTTGACAGATAGTCGCTACTGCTGCGTCATGGTTCAATTAACTATGATTCTCTCCTCTCATCCTCTTGACAAGGTGTACATGCAGGACCAAGCAATATCGATTTATGCAGAGCTAAGGGAAGGAAGGAGGGAGAGGAAGAGGAGGAATGGATAAATCTGCGTCCCGAAACCTCCATCATCGCAGTGCGTCTCTTTGGACGCCAATCAATCGCGCAATACCAGCTTATTTGGCAACAAGTTTTTCACCACTACCTTAACGCAATCAGGACTCTTGAAATTGTCTGTTGGTATTTTAAGTGGTGAGGTTTGTTGTGGTAGTGGAAACAGTCCTCATTCTGTTATCATGCGCATTCTGGTGTGCACAACCAGGAGGTTACATCGTCCTAAGCTTGGCATGAGTACCAGCTCGAATAGCTAAGAGGCTTCGAAAACCCTCAAATGTGCAAATGGGATCCTGAAACGATTGAAGTTCTATACCATGAATTGCGGCGAGGCCAATGGCTACAAATAGTATGGATTGACAACGAACCTCCATTCGCCTAGTTCAAGCCCAGAATATCCTTGAGTCTGCTGAGGGTCCCAAAAAGCTCATTGTCGTGGTATTTGCGTGCTACCAGCTGCAGGTTTACTGGCGCTCCTCGGAAATCAGTTTCCTCCCAAAGCTGCTTTACCTGTTCGCAGGCTTCACTCAAAGGCTGGTATGAAGGATCGTACTGCTCCCCGACTTCTGTCACAATCGGTGTAGGAAAAACGACTGCAGGATAGTCTACAAAGTTGTAGAGTGATGTGTATGTCCATGTGAAGGCTGTATCATGAGCACAGGCGGGTCCCACGTAGGCTGGGCAAATGAGAACATCGATATCCTGCTCTTGCCACGCACGGGCAAACTCAAGACGATAATTATCGCGGTCACCTCGCATATTGCTGACATCGGCAGCTGTAAGCATGCCGAAGGGTTCGGCGTCTTTCCAGATCCACTCGCTCAAGGGATGGAGTGGCTCGCCGCCCGAGAGGATCGCGTCGCGACAACCTGAGCCGCCGTCAGGCCAGTACATCCGTCTGGCCTTGCGCCAGACCTCTGCTGCACCAGATATCTTGAAAGACTTGATACTAATAGCGCCTGTATGACGGGCATCCATCAGAAGCTCACGTGCCCAGGCAATGGCGCGTTTGACTGGAGGTTGTGGCTCCACGAAGCCATCGTTCTCGACTATCCCGATCTTGAGAATCTTAGTCGAGCTTGTCTGTAAGCCGGTCCACGGGATTGGTACAAGCCTGGGATCCAAGAGATGTGGCTTGTCCGCTAGAACGCTACTCATGAAGAAGTCCATATCTCGGAGACTACGGCACATCGGGCCAGTAGAACCCAGAATGTTGAGCTCGGCGGGGAAGGGACTTGGAATGAAGCCTTGCATGGGCAGGGTGTTCGATGTAGGCTTGAAGCCATAGATGCCACAAAACGCTGCCGGTCCTCGGATGCTCCCACCGATATCTGTCCCCACACCAACGACGGACCCTTTCATGGCAATGAGCGCCGCCTCGCCCCCCGTGGAGCCTCCAGCTGAGAGATGGATGTTGAACGGGTTGGTAGTCCGGCCCCAAAAAGAGTCAGTCTCGAGGTGCATTAGTGACTGGGGCTGATTAGTCTTGCAGTAGAAAACAGCACCAAGGCGGCGCAGAATTCCGACCAGCTGGCTATCAGTCTTGTCGAGGACGATGGACGCCAGACATCCACTTGAAGATGAGACACCTGCGATAGGAATGTGCTCCTTGATGCTCACGGGCACGCCGTGTAAAGGGCCGACTGGCTTGCCATGTTCTGCCAAGTATGTGTCCAGCTGCTGCGCCTGAGCCACAGCCTCTTCCATGAACCACTGCGTCAGGCAGCATGTCAACTGGTGAGCGATGATTGCGCGTTTCGCAAAGGCCACCGCAACCGCGACAGCTGTGAGCTTGCGCGCGGCAATGGCCGCGGCAAGACCGACTGTGTCATAGTCTTCGGTGATGGCAATCTCTTCAGCCGTGAGGATGCCACATTTGGCGGGGATGTCTGTGACGTCGCAGGCAATATTGTCGAGAAGTTCCTTTGGTAAGTAGTAAGCGACAGGTACTTTGTCCTGAAAAGCTTCCAGTACAGCCGCACGTTTGACCTCGAAGACCTTACTACCAGGGGGTACTGGCTTTGGCTGTAGAATGGTGAACTTCGGCGGGCACCCCATTACTACCAATGGGTTTTCAAGATATTGGAGACCGAATGCAGATGATGGCAAGTGTGTAAAGAAATGAATCGGTGCCGAAACTCTTTTCCTCGTCGAGTAGTTGAGTATAAATACACACCATAAACACATCTAACAAACAGAACACAAGCAACAATGCGTATCTCTGTCGCCAAGGACCCTGGTCCAACGATTGCACCTGGCTGCGACGATCCAATAGACGATGCTAGCACAACACACGCTTTTCAAGCAAACTGACTTGTTTAGGACAAGCAATGCTACTCTAACCTTAGCCACAATGGCCAGATACGACAGACCTGTCGTATGCACTATCCTGGAGGACATACTCTGTCGTGGAGCCTTTGCTGAGGTATTTCTTCCATATATAGCCGAGGACGTCTGCACTTCTCACGGCAGAAACTTCCCTTACATCGCAGTCCCGACTCGAGCTTCATTATGGCATTCATTACCATCCAACGGGCCACTCCCAGTGGCGAGAAAACTCCTGGGACTGTGCGCCTAGTCGGGTTGCACCACAGCACTCGTGGCCGTTATGCTGGCAGCAGTGACATCGTTCTTCACCCTTGCCCTTCTAACGACCCTAATGACCCGCTCAATTGGTCTCCGCGTCGGAAGCTCTTATCTCTTCTCTGCCAAAACCTGTAGGCCGACTTATACCGAAGTAAAATCATGCTTGCCAGCGCTGACTCGGATGTATCAGGTATACATGGTTCACTGGCGTTGCGGTTTCGACTATCTATTCTGTCCTCGTGCCATTGTCGTTAAGCTCCGGGGTTACTATTACTGCGCTAAACGAGGGAACCGGCTACATGTTCCTTTTACTTGGCTGGGGCTTGTTGTTCTGGCAACCTTTTGCACTTCGCTATGGCAAGCGACCTACATACCTGATCTCAATCCTCGGAGCTATCGTAAGCCATTCTTTCGCTATTCTGAGAGAGCGCTACGGAATACATGGAGTCTTACTGACATGCATTTCTTCAGGGTACCAGTGTCTGGAGGTCTGTACAAGCCGTCCGGGATATCAACAATCAAGTTCGCTATTGCTAACATTAGTTATAGCGCGCATATTACAAGCAATGGCGAATGGTTGGCCAAGTGCATACTTCAGGGATTTTTCATAGCTCCTATTGAAGCTCTTCCGGAGATCTCAGTCACTGATATTGCAAGTATTGCTCTGCGCTTCGTGACCGAAATCTTGCTAATTCACTCTCTCTCGCATATAGTACTTTACCCATGAACGAGGTACCTATATGGGGGTTTACGCTTTCACTCTAGCCGGTAGCAACTACTTCACCCCAGTGCTCAGTGGTCTGATCGCAGAGTATCACGGTTGGCAGTGGGTTTTCTATTGGCCAGCAATATTCCTTGGTTTTATTTTCATAGTACTATTCTTTCTAATGGAGGAAACTAACTACACCCGCAACTATTCATCCCACGAACCGGCATCCGCGATGTCCCCTTCTCCAGCCTCGATAGCTGGGTCGAGTGCATGGGAGAAGAGATTCTCCGTTGCCGCGGAGTCGCCAACTTTATCAGAAGCCGGTGGGACATACCCTGTGAGCAAGACTTACATGCAAAAACTGTCGATTTGGCAGTCTTCTCCTGGTCAGGGGATGTTCGGCCGGGCTTTGCGGTCCGTCAGATATCTGTCTTGGCCCATTATATTCTATGCCGGGTTCTCCTACGGGACTTACCTGATCTGGTTTAACGTCTTGAACGCCACGGCATCGATCATCCTTTCTGGCGAGCCGTATAACTTTTCCCCTTCCCTGGTCGGGATCAGCTACCTCTCGTGCTGCATTGGTGTCATCGATGGCGCGTTCCTTTCTGGGCTCTTGAGCGACTGGCTGACAGTCAAACTTGCCCGGAGGAATAACGGTATTATGGAGGCAGAGCACAGACTGTGGCCCTTCACCATTTGCATAATACTCATACCTGGAGGGCTTGTTCTTTGGGGTGTCGGAGCAGCCCACGAGATCCATTGGTTTGGTCTGATCATGGCAATGGGCAGCCTCGCTACGGCGACCACAATAGGTCTCACCATCTCTGTCAATTATCTCATCGACAGCTACCCTGGGATCAGCGGCGACGCGATTGTTACGGTTATCATTATCCGTAATACTATGTCATTCGCAATTAGCTATGGGTACGCCATGTTTCTGCAGCCATAGAAAATCTGAGGGTCAACTGACACTATTCGCAGAATCACGCCGTGGCTGTCTCAGCTTGGCTACCAGACTTGCTTCATTACGGCGGCATTTATCGGTCTGGCTGTCACGTCTGTCTATCTCATCATTATCCAGTTTGGCAAAAGACTTCGGGTACAAAGCGCAGACAAGTATTTTGAGCTTGTGCGATAGTAGCGCATTTTGGCGGTTTTTTTCAAGTGCCAGGGCCTGTCTTCCGGAACTTGAGGGGGTCGGTGTCGCAGTGCAGAAGGTAACTCGCAGAGACGAGAAAAAAGCAAGTCCGCTCCTCACACCGGGCAAGGCACCCAGGTTCCGAGCTTGCTATAGCAAAGAAGGATCAGAATAAGCCCGAAGTACACACTAAAGAGAGACACTGAGATATAGAATAGTGCTCGAAGCAAGCACAGAAGATGTGACTTAAAACCCCGGCAGAGACGTGTAGCAGTGTTAACTAAGGCAATATCTCGGCCATTGAGTTTCTCTCCATGTTCTCTATCGCTATAAAGACAAAAAGCCCTATGTTTAAGTCTTGCGAGCTTGGTGACCTTATGAGACCGCGTTGCAAAGCGTGCCGATGCCCCCAAACCTATGTCTATCCCAATAAGCTACCTAGGAACTAGCTGCAAATATGCCACAGACCACGCCCCCCGCTCTACAATAGAATATTGACATGCCTACCAGCACGCGAATGCTGCCCATGAGCCTCGCAGGCTGCAACTGGTGGTTCGTTCCGCTGAACAAGAACATTTGATTCCATGGGGTAGCCGAGCCGGAACTCTGAGCCACCAAGCAGGCCCCCATCGCTGCCTCTGCCGCCACTGGTCCGACCCGCCGAGGCATGGTGCCCATGCACTGGACGAGGTTGACAAATGGCCGCAGCTTGCGGTCTTCCTCGAAGACTATTAACGGGGTGTTGATGGCCTTTCAGTGTCGCACTACTGGGGTTACTTGAAGCAGATCGCCGAGCATCCAGTCTTGGTCAAGACGTCAAGCAGCGCGGCGTTGTTATACACGGCCCCTCGCCAGGCAGCATCAATCCCAGGCCCGAGGGATATATCATAAGGAAGTCGATGAGAGGAAGCTGCTCCTCGAGCGCCTCCCGCACCTCGTCCCTGCTCCATCCTCTAATCAGCTCGGCGCCCGCCTGGCCAGCGCTGGACTGGCACAGGGGAACGATGGCGAGGACCTTCATGCCCAAGTTGACTTGGCCATCATGCCGACCCTCCAAGGCACCGCGATGCCATTGCTGGCGGACTGTGCGTAGTCATTGACAGCGCCTTGGGGTGTGGTGCGCGGAGCCGCTATCAGAGCTGGTTCGGAGGAGTCGCGGAGGCAGAGAGGAGGAGCCGGCTCGATTCAGGTCGATCTCAAATCGAATCCGAGACATTGTTGAGCAGAATGAGTAGGCGATCCGCAATGTTGCGGCGCTCGATGATGCTGAGAGTGGTCGCCATCCGACACGGACTCGAGTGAAGTCTTATGCTATGAAACATCGCGAGGCATTGCGCATCGTGGAATTGGCAGCCGAGAAATCCGGCAGCGGCATGTGTTTCGGGCCTTCTGACAAGTCGAACAGGCCTCGCCGCGGCGCAGCTCAACTTGCCAGAATTGCGAACCGGCCTGACACAGGGAGGCAACGCAAGTCTGCATTGACGCAAGCCTGCGCATCCTCGTCCTCGAATTCACCCCTGTTATCCCAGTTCGGCTTCTTCGGGGGTACGCGATTGCGAGAGATGGGCAGGTTGGTCCTGCGGGGTAGGCGCCAATCATCACCATCGTTGCCGATAGGTGCTAGGAGTGTAGTCGGTGTCGCTGTGTTGGCGCAGGGTGGAAGTCATAGTGACCTGTCGGACGCGCGTCGGTGGCAGAATGGAAACCGTGGGAGAGCGCGAAAGTTCACATTAGGAGCGGAGTCGCGTGCACACTGTACGAGCCGCGTTCGCGATCCCAGTGTTTGTGTTCGTGCAGTAGTCGTATACTGAGCGTTTTATGGTGTGCCCAAGATGATGGGGAGATACCGGAGCAGGGAAGGCGGCCTGGCGATGAACAGCGAAAGGCTGCTGTGGCGACCAGACAATGAGGATGACGAAGGAATGCTTGCGACGGGGGTAACTTTCAGTGGAGTGGACAGAGCCCAGCCAGCGAGGGTCACTAAAGCCCCCCACACAACACCAGTGTCGGCCCCGCCATGGTTGGTCAAGTTCCGTACCTCCCCGCTAATCGGCGAGTGTGGGCACAGGCACATCCGATATGTCCATATTTGCATGCAGCAACCCTCCAACTAGCCAGCGACATGCAGGCCGCGGGTCGCCAGGGCTGGGCTGTCCAGCGCGTTCGGTCCGCCCTGCTCCCGAATGGCCTGTTCTTGGAATGCCTGGAGCGGGATCATGGATTCAAGACTGGGTATATCAGGTCTATCCCCTCTTCAACTCTCATGTTCCGCCACATTGCGCTAACGACATTCTGTGCAGAATACGAAGCCTCAAGACTCGACTTCAGCGATGGGGCTTCAACAAAAGCCTTTCCCGCGACAACATGAAGATTCTGATTGCAAGGAAAGACGAACGAAAGCGTCAAGGCAAGGAAACCACCTTCACTCTTCATGGCTGCAAAATCCAGCGTGAGAGACTGGCCACATTCGAGAAGCGCTATGCAAAAGACTGGCCCCGTGCCTCTTTCCAATGCTCGTAAGTGGAGCAGCACTCACCCCAAATACCATGCAACTGATCTTCCCCAGCGATGCCAGATGGTGTTGGCTACTTTACACCGGGAGAACTTCGCTCGGAAGACTCCACAGACTCTGCAGGGCACCGTGAGACATTGCAAGTCCGCGAAGGTACGCAGTGATACAAGAGGGTCTTGGACGACACGCTCAAGGGGGACCATCACGGTCATAGCCACCGTGGTACGGATCTTTCACAACTGGTTCCATTCAATGTGCTCGGCGCCAGATTGACCCTCACCTATCCAAACAAACGCCAGCGCATCCAACAATTCACGGGACCTCGAAGCCTAGAGACGCCCTCTGCATCCGGCCATGCGACAATAGATCTCATAGTGACACGATCCGCAGCTCGTGTCACAAGTAATCACAGACAGCCTATTCAAAATCCATGCCACGACCAGAACCACACTCCCATAGCAGATGCCTTGTGCATGCTCGCCGTCGGTGGTAGCAGCAAAGACGAGCTGGAGCTTAAAGGGAATGGCGCTCCGACTTCTCGTACTTCATAGCCTCCGACAGCCGCGGCTCCGCGCCGGCAGAGTCATTCTCTCTCGACTCCGACATCAACTTAACGCCATAGTTGCGAAACGATCCACCGCGGCGAATAAAAGCATAGCGGAAAAGACGGCTGCTATCGCCAGCGCCTAGGCTGCGTGTCACGAACTCCGCGTGGATCGGCGCCATGGAGCGCAGCAGTGACACCCCTTTGTCGCCTCGCACAACACAGTCCCTCACCTGAACCGACGAGCGTACCATAAGGCTCATCAATTCGGGGCTACACAAGGAAACCACATATACGGCGTCGAGCTGCTCATCGACCGAGGTAACCCCCGGGACCCTCTGAGCTGGAAGCAGGAGTGCGACTCTCAGTCGATAAGATCTACTCATCTATCGGACAGGTCATCGGCCATCGATTTGAGAATGGCAGAGCGAATACCATGTTCAGTAGACGGGCCGCTCGAGGCGCCGGGCGTAATGCGGGACAGACGCCAATAGGACCGAGGGAGACAAAGTCGTCGAGCTATTGTGGTCTGAGAGGTTGGCGTGCGTGATGTATCGTGAGAAGGAGAGTCATGACGTGGTTGTGATCGACGAGGATTGAGGCAGGCCATATTCTGGCTTCCCTGGTGGGCCGGAGACCACCGTCGAACCGTATCTTGGACATTCTACACGTATAGAGGACAGCGGTAGGGCCATCTAGGCAAGAGCATGACCGTCATATGGAAGAACAGACAAACGGATTGCACAACCACGCCTAACACGTGTGGTGGGCTACGAGATGAGGTTAGATAAAGCTGATTTAGAGACCACCGCCTGCACGGCAACAACGGCGCTGGGTTTGGCACCGCTGTATTGCTGATGTCGAGACTTCGCCATGATGGTTGACTAGCAGGCGGCACAGCTTGACATTACGACGCTGCAGAGCCTTCAACGAAGCTGGCTCACCAGATTCCGGCGGCAACAGATTGGGGTCAGCTCCGCCTTTTAGAAGCTCATCCGCAAGCTTTAAAGTCTCGTCATAGTCGAGTGAGCCTGTACATACGGTCCACAGGGCCGTCCTGCCTGCCCTGAATGTCTGTAATATTAGGGTCTGCACCATGTTCGAGCAGCCAGCGGATAGTCTCTTGCCTGTCATGCCCAGGCCGAGCCTTGAATGGGAGCACCATTCCGGTCACCGCCATCAGTGGAGTGAGTCCTCTGGCTCCCGCATTGACCTCCGGCGCGTTTTCGTGGAGGATTTGCAGTATGTGGAGCATGTTGGAGTACGCCGCCATGGCGCGTGAAATTCAAGCCAACCTTAGAGCTATCACGCTCATGAGAGATGGTGATCAGGAATGGCTATATTGCTGTTCTGACTTTTCTGCTCTGTCCATTGTGCCTGATTCCGTCACTTCTTTTACGCAAATTTGCCTCACGATAAGTTCAGCGACGAGGTAAATGCAATAGCGTTGACCGCTTGACTTTTCTCCCGCACGAACTAGCGCCTCCACGCCACTACATCGCGCTGATTTGTAATGAAAAAGCTATAATCAAACCACCACAGGCTCAGGCAGACTCGAGCGATTCCTGCTTGTTCTTGCACCGTCATGACTAACTGAGCTTGAAGCGATCTCGTCCGCCATTCCGTAATCTTTGAGCAGCATGTTGCTCAATTGGTCATCTACACCGGTTATCATGTCAAGCAAAAGGGGAGCAAATGGTATTTTAACATAGTATCGACCCGGATAGGCTCTATAGGAATGGAGAGCGGTACGAACAAGCCCAATCAGCGTGATCGATGCACAGCCGTACTGACCAAGTGGAGAGAGTGTAAAAATACCCGATCGTGCAACTGGCATAACAATGACGACAATTATAAAGGCGGATGTACCAAACTCCTCGAGAGACGTAGGAGGTGCAAAAATACACGGTCGTGCCACCATCATGGGAACATGCGTACTATGATTTCCAACGCAACGAATAAGAGCGTAACACGCCCGGGTCAGGCTCAGGGGAAAGCAGAGCAGAGAGTCAACCCCCCGAATCTTTGCACCTGCATGGTCCAGGTTAAGTGTGAGGATGGGAAGTTCTCGATCCAGGCATGTTCCACATTGGATATGTGCGACAAAGGTTGCCACATCTCAAATGAGGGGGTCCGAACGAAAGTATTGGAATTATTTGAAAAAGGTCTATTGTCGGAAACTTGTTTCCTTTACTCGAAAGTGAAAGAGGAGTTAGAAGCCTCGTGAAGTCAGGCAGGATCTCGCGCTGAGGTATGCAGCTAAGAAAATTGCAAGCATTGGTCTATAGGTAACGAAACAGAGATTGCAAGAGAAGAAATCAATCCCCGTCGCATTTTATGTTAAGGGGAACAATTAGCCTTTTTCGAAGCGATGCCCACCTCGAATGCCAGCATTTTCTGCTTCTCCGTTGCTGGGCGATGATGTACGATCTTCTGAATGGCGCGGCCCTATCATCTACTTCCTCCTTCTTCCCTTAAGTATGTCCATACGTTTCACCAAGTCTGCTCCTCTATAATAAATTGAAAGCGAACTATGGTTCGAAGCACCATCTGAATTTGCTCGTCGAGGCTCGGGGCAGAATTCAACCTAATCCGGTTGAGGAATTCTACCTATGATGGTACTAACTCTGGAGAAAGAACACGCACATCCTACTTAACCCGTACGTATACACGGCACGTGGACTCGGGAAATCATGTTCATTATTCGGTCGTAGTTCGGTTGCGATTATAGCCTTCCGAGGCCCGCGGCATTACCGCGGATGTTAAATGAGGTTCGTAGCGCAAAAGAGTTACGGGGCGTCTGATTATTGCTTTTGGGATTGTGTTCCGAGGGTATATCAAGTATCATACTCTATGGCGCTCCTCCCTTCGAAAAATTCTAACTATACGAAATATCGCGGGCTGTGACAAGCTCTGGATAGGCCACGGAGACCTGGCACAGTCGGCTTCTTTCATTGGCTCCAAATGCAGGAGGCTAGCCGCGCCCACCATACCAAAGGTCCTTGGGCAGCATAAATAACGAAGCCACAGTGTGTAGAGTAACGAACATCATATATAAACTCGAGCTCCTCCCCTGCCAGGGGAAGATGTCATCGACCTATGAGCTGTTACGCATCTCCGTGAAGACCCTCAGAGATTCGAGAATGGATCGTCTCTCATGTTGTAGGACGTGCTGAATGACTGGTCAATTACGGAATATTGTAGTATGCGCAGCTGGCGGGAATAATCGGCGCCTCGGTGCGCCATAATACTTGTTCTCGCGCTGTCGTGGCACACGGCAAGGTGATCTCCTCCTAGGTGTCGCTGCACCCTGTCTCCATTACCGGGCACGGTTACATCCATGCCTCGTGGGCACGTTACCAGGTGCATGGACGCAACAGCAGCCGCAGATATCAGTTTTCGAGTCGGTGTTTCTGATCACACCAGGTCTCTAATAAAGTGCGGGTGTGCGCCCCGAGATTTCCATCTCATCGGCGTGAGGCCCGTGCAATACGAAGCTGTTTCAGAATGTTTGACGAGTTGAGCGATGCGGGTGCGGTCGAGGCACAGACGGGCGCATTTCTGCTGGCGCTATTTCGATGAATATATCACCTGTGCTGTTAGCTGGTGGAAGCGCTCAGAAGGACTGCAACATCCCCGGTCGAAAACGACATCGCGCATTCACCGCGAGACAGGCAGCTCGCCTGCGCTAGGTGCAAGCCTGTAGAGATAGTAGATGGGCAAGGCGGCAGTTATCGCAGTATAGGTGGTGGGAGGGCCGGAGGGCGATTGATGAGACTCTTCCGAGGTGCGGCATCGCGAGGCGGGCACGCAGCTTAGAACGTAGATGCCACCGTATATCCAGAGCCTCCATGATGCCACCCGAAACCGTCCCCGCAACCTCGCTCCCGGCGAATTTGTCGGACGCAACACTATTATAGACGTCGAGCTCCGCATCGGAAGGCTGTTAGCGTAAGTTGCATCTCTCGTTCGGCCCACCACATCGCGGCTCTCCTTCCCCACCGACTATAACACCCGATGGGCAAGCTTCTCGACAAAGGATTACACACTAGCATCAAAATAGGCGACCATATGCGCGAACTTGACGGGGAAGGTTGTGTTTTGGACTTGGAGGGCCGGAGAACCGCCAAGAACCTACTTCACGACCGAATCCGCGGACTTGGAGGGGCCTGATGCTATCCCTACCTGGACTCGCGCTATCGCTGGCTGGACACGGCCGGGCTCACAATGGCAGTCTGAGGACATCTAGTGTCAAGACATTGCACGCAAGCATATTCCTGCTGGAACAGCCCGACAAGCTTATGCGGCTGGTTGAATCGTACGGCCATTACCACTTCATTCAACGGGTTACAGGCAGGTGAATCGGGAGGATACATAATGTCGAGAGTGCTAGCGCCCTGTCAGTGCTGTAGACTGTTGCACTTGTATGAAGAGGGTCTCAATGAAGGACGTGTTTATGTTGATGCAAGGAGTTTCCGCCCGTTACTGATGATTCCACAGCCTCAGGCATCTACCGGGCCGGAACCGGTTGGGTTGCGAATAGCTTTGAGGCAGACAGAGCAACTTAACGCGTATATGAAAAGGACGAGGACAATGACTTTCAGCTTGAGGGGTTGCGGAACCAATCGATCAGCCCCTGGCAGGCCACCCAGAAAACCTTATACTTCTCCCGGCTGCCATCCAAACATGAAGAGCTCCAGCCTCTGCGATAATCAACCAGATGGTCATGAACTGGTTTTCGGCGGTTGGAGTTGGCTTTGCTCTTCAGAAGAGTATGCGCGAGATCTCTATGACCGTTGTCCACCGCCCACATCAACAGGTCCGGGATAGTTTTCAAGGCTTGCTTGGTGACGGATGGGAGCATTGAAATGCGGAATTGGCGGCTCACTGTTGCTTGTGATAATTGACAGGACGATGAAATATGATCACAGATGCTAACCCATAGGTTTGGCGGGAGAGCGGCCGGGAGGTTGGCAAAGTTTATTAAAATGTGTTTGCGCCCGAACGCACAATGTATTTTCCCTATTGACGAGTCGTGTTATCTATTTCAACGCAGAATCTTAAAGCCATGCTACCAATTCCTCCAGTTCTCCATCCTTAATCAGTCGGAGTAACGCGTTTCTCCCCTTGCTAGCGCCCCCGAAATATCCTTCGCCTACCATACTTAGCATTTCTTCGGCCACCATTTCGCCTGGCCAATCGGTATCCCATTGCAATAGATCATTGTACTTAGCTTCGACAAATGCTTTCAAGGCATCCTTCACTCTCTGCCCATGCTCAAACCCATCCCACCACCAATCTTCGTGCTTCTCGTTACCTAGGCCCTGACTACCGCCGAGTCCGGTCAGTGAAGTTTGGCCCAGGAGTGCTTGAGGCTTCCCAATTATTGCCAGATCATTCGGGGTATTCTCTGGTTGCTGAGTTCCTGCTGGGATAGTACTTTTTTTAGTTTGCACTGTTGGGATCATCTTTAATGGACTTTCTAAGCGGGTGGGATGCTTGACTTACTTATATTCTTAGTGGAGCTAGACCGTTACTTACCTATAAAACAGAGTAGAAGGATGCGATTGCGTGTAAAGTTTGCTAAAGCTCATGTTGGGCAGGCCACTGCCTGACATAAATCTTTGTACCACAGCAGTCGTGCGAGAGAGAACGCAAAGTTCAGGAGCGAGCGCTGATGCTCGATGATCGGACACGCGACTAAATTCCTGCTACCCGGCTTTGTGAGATCATTACTGGAGTTCAGCAATCCACACTATGCGGAAAACCCGCTCAGGACCAAAGATGCTATGTGTCAGTTCAACGGCAGCTCTCGGTGATGCTCGATAGTATGCAGATCGTCTAATCTCATGTTACCTCCGTAATCTGTTATGATGTTGTAAGCCGTAAGGCACTAACGGGGGTTAAGGGACTATAAGTATGCAGCGTCGTAAGTCTTGTCTACTGTCTAAGGCTGTTCCAGCCACTGATAGAACCAATGGCGGGCGCTACACGTAATCAAATACCACATCCCTCAGATCTGGCCTCACGCCTACTGAGTAGTCCGAGTGCTTCTCCTTCTCCGAACGAATGGGGAGCGGAGGAAGAAGCAAGAAAACAAGAACAACTAATCATAGCTATTCAAGTTCTCATTAAGTCGATTTACAAAGAAATGAAGAATGCGGTGGAGGAACTGTCACGCAGGATAGTCCATAACGCAGGAGAAGAACTCGAAGTGAAAGAGAGAGAGGATCTCATCCGAGCACCAGCAACTGCGAGTCGCATTCTTGCTGGATACAAAGCGTCCTTTCCGAACGGATGGGGAGCGGAGGAAGAAGCTATAAAACAAGAACAAGTAACCATAGCTATTCAAGTTCTCATTGCTATTCAAGTTCTCATTAAGTTGATTTACAAAGAAATGAAGGATGCGGTGGAGGAACTGTCACGCAGGATAGTCCATAACGCAGGAGAAGTACTCGAAGTGAAAGAGAGAGAGGATCTCATCCGAGCACCAGCAACTGCGAGTCGCATTCTTGCTGGATACAAAGCGTCCTTTAATCAACCCGGCATGCACAAGAAATCCGCTGAGAAGCGTCCACCGAAATAGACATCTGAGGAAGTATAGAGCCCTAAGAGGAGAAAGAAAAGGCCGGGTAAAAATAACCTATCTACTATAGCCATGCTTAAAGCAATGAAGAAGATCCCAATCCAGGCATTTGACACGTTGAAGGTGTGCGACCCGGGCTATCACGTCATACAAGCAGAGGCTTGAAATAAAGGACGAAACTACTGGAGGAATGCTTGTGAAGCTGGACTGTCCCATATTCAAGAAAGCGAAAGTGGAATTCAAGAGAGCGTTTGCAAAAGCCAGCAGGGTCTCGCATTCATATGTGAAAATGAAAGCATTGTAAACACGCATGCACGTAGTTAGAACAACGCTATAATTAAGAGATGATGAGCCAACCTCCGTTATTGCCTTTACACTCCCCACGGTATGATTGATTAAAGAACTCCATCTGTTATGAGGACGCCTAGGCAGTGTACACTTCGTCTAAACAAGGGCAGGGACGGTACTCGATCGGATAGCTCGGGTAGGGTTTCCATCCTTTTCTACCTAGGAATAAAAGGTTTCATTACTCATACTGGAGCTGACTTATCATTAAGTTACTCATTGCATTGGTAAATATAAATCGATCATGTGGTAAACCCCCTCCATATAAATGCTGCATCTCCGTCTCCTCGCTTCTGCCAGGAAAGATGCAGTACAGCTTTGTCTCCGCTTCCGCCGCAGCTACGACTGTTCCCAGCGGTGTTGACCCTCGCAGTGGCTCCATCTGGGTCACTCCCCACGACCGCTACTCGTCCTCAATTGGTGTTCTCGGTTGCAAGATCAACACGAACCGCGTCGCGTACTGGCCGTCACCGGTGTCTTGCGATAAGCTCTGCGTTAAGGTAACAGCTAACGATCGCTCGGTCACCCTGTTGAAGGTCGACCAATCTGGCGGCGCTTACGACGTCTCATACGACGCTTGGAACTACCTCGTAACCGGCCAGAGTGCCCGTGAAAACCCGGCGTACGGGGCTGGGATCGTGGCCACCTGGGAGGACGTCGACATGTCTCAATGCTCAGATCTGCTCGCTGGTGCAGGAGGCAAGCTACCACTGACAGCGGCCAACAGCATGAACTACGTCTTCAACTGCGGCGCTGATACATGGGCTGCCAAGAACTACGCTCTATACAACATCGTCGATTCTGTTTGCACGTTGGGATATGACGAGCTCTGTGTTCTGCCGCCGCCTTCGATCAGCAACCAGCCTTCGTGCCCCAACACCCTCGGTGCGCCAGTACATCTGAATGGTAAGAGTGTCATCAACATCGACTACGGCACAGGTCATCAGTCGTCTCCTGCAGACCCTGTGCCAAGCCTATCAATTTCTGTCCTCCCATAAAATAGTCTCGTAGCTAGGCTCCAACAAAGAATCCTCCATAGATTAGGCGCTAGTTGTCATATATTGTATTTATGCCCCGTGCGCTCCCGTCCGATCTTTGACATGTCCCTGAGCAGGGACGGTGTGGTGTGACTCGTGCCGCGCCTGGCTTGAGAACGGGAAAGCCTCCATGCACTGTCGCAAAAGTTGAGTTGGATCAGCGCGACATACATTGAGGTCTAATGCAAGTGATGGCTGTCAATGCTCGAGAGAGCGCCACGGGGGAGTTTCCTAGTATGCTCAGCGAGGGGCTGTTAGAGATGGTTCCAGTGAGACAAGAGATTGGCGCATTATGAGGAGCTTGCAGATCATCTCTGCCATGACCTTGACTAATCACCTATCCTCAAGCGAGCACCTGACACCGCGAGCACGTGCAAAAAGGAGATCTATTGCTACGTGATTCCTCCACCCCCCTTTGGAGTTTGAGACCTCCACGTACGGCTACATTATCAACATAAGGCGGCCAATGAAGTACTCGCATGGATTGCCAATGAACATACAATGACTCCAGTGGTAAGTTAACTGCAAGGGCTGTCCTCGACTCCACTGCTGAGCCAGCCTCGGCGTTTCTAGGTATGTTATGCTACTTTCTAGCCGTCAGGGAATCGTGGCAAAGATGGCTCCGTGGACCGCTGATCGTCATGCGCCGCAGAGACCGAGAAGCGCCACCAGTCACCGGGTTGTATTTGGGCCAATGCTTCTCCTCAAGAAGACTTTCGGGCACCAAATGACGCGCAAAGGAGTAGCGCACGCCTCGACTACGGTGCGACTTCATGGCGAGATGAGCAAGTTCTTGGCCTCCCGAGAATCGCCGGCCAGTGAGCGGTGTACTAGACTTCAATGGCTGTGGGGCCTGACCGCTCTTGAGAAATACGCATCACTGAACTTTGCTGCACTGCGGAAATCATGAAATAGTCCCAGCATCGCTAAGGATTCTTCGCCCGCTGTGTACATGATTGACATTTGGAATAAGTCCTAGAGCCTTGTGAACTGGAATGACCAAAGCCGCATGAACAAGCTGCCCTTTGAGAAAAACATGCACCTCCGCCTGTGAGCGATTATTTTGTCTTGGTCCGTCCCCGCTGGGCGAGGAATTTACTGCGGCCACCAACACTGTCCCAGTACTCCTTCAACAAGTCGGGCGCGATTTTCTGGAGCTTGGCCTCGCCCTCCCAGCTCGTGTTGCCCTTTGTGGCGGGATAGCCGACCCACTGGACCTTGAGCACAAAGCCGCCGCGGTCCTTCTTTTTGTGGTTGAGAATGCGGAAGACGTGATATACCTCGGTCATGGTCTGGAAGAGGGTCTCTGTCCGGCCCCCGGCATTCTTCCAATAGCTATAAAGCAGCTCACTCGCTCCGTCCTGGATCTCCTGCTCTGGCTCCCAGGTGGCCTGCTCCGCGGGCTCGCCTGCCCAGTGAACCCGCAAGTCTACGCTGTCATCTTCTAGCATCCTGTGGTCAAGGAGCGCCTGCACCTCTGCAATTTCCGCCTCTCCGCCGGCCTCGGCCTTGGCACCTTCTTGCGCCTGGGGGGTTGCCTTCTCGGGAAGAGCAGAAGCAGTTGCTACAAGACCTCGTATTAGCAGAAATCCATAAAAGGAGCAAAATTCAGAGAACACGGACGGGCATCGAACGAATCCATGGGAGCCTCGACAGCGCCGGGTTGCTTAGAGGAGCCTCCCTCAGACCGATTCGCCTCGGTATTCAGAGGGGCATCATTGGAGTCGAGAGGTGTCCCCTCAGGTACATCTGATGAAGGTTTCTTCGTGGACGGTCCAATGGAATTGGACTGGGTCGCTCTAGGCACTTGTGACGAGAATTCTTCCCCATCTGTTTTAGTCCTGAACCGAGATGACCGACGCCGTTGTCTATCCTGACCTGTAATCATGGTCTTGAGTTAATATGCAGCCTATCATCCGCACGCGAGGCATGGGAATGATGGGATACGAACCTGGTAACTCGCCGGAAGCGCAATCCGTTGATGTGCACTTGAGGCCGCGGTCTCTCGTGGCCTTAGCCATCGAGCTGCACGAGACCCCCGTTAGAAATAGCTCGTACGCTGGAAGGAGCTTGGCTGAGACCCTGCATGGACATGAACATGAGCACGGGTGTGAGAGCGCCAAATGCCGAGGGGTGTCTGGTGGGGTATGACGGCGCGACGGCGCGAACACGACGCGTGCCTGACGGAGGTACTTAAGCACTTGAGTACGTTAACGTGATCACTTCAGCCCCACCTGCACCCCTACCGGCATCCGTGCATGCCCCTGGCCCAGGTCAGTGCTGTCAAGCGGGACTACATCGGCATGAACTGCGGCAAGGCATTCTCCCCTACATAGTACGCCTTGCCAAGGCTAGAAGATGCGCTTGCAACGAGGTATGCAGGCATTATTTGATACGCCAACGGGAAGCTGATCCTGGACCATTCAGCAGCGTGGACTGCGCCCTGTCCACTCTTGTGGCACGGAAACTTGCTCATCATCCCTTCAGTTGCATGGACATAGTATGTCAAAGACGTGGAGGAAGGCGTGACTATCTTTTATCTCTGATAACACACTCTCTGTTCTCTCCCTGCCCGAAATGACCGTGTTTGCAACAACATCTAACCGAAACGGGTGTACATGCGCGAATGGCCCGGCTGGGTTACACAATGGAGTAAACACCTCCCGTAAACTTTCAAAGAAGCCAGTCCTTTTCATCGGCCCCCTCAGATCCTTCATTCTTGTGACGACACCGGATCCGTATCCATTCGCGCGTGACGAGTACAAGGAGGAAGAACTCTCCGGTGGTCGTGCAGAAAAGCGGAATCCTCATTCCAAGAGGGATGTTTTCGCTTTCCACAAGAATCCGGATCGGTGTGAAACTGTGGTAGAGAGTTGTGAACACCAAAGTGCCGGCATTGTGAAACGTGGGGAGGTATCGTTCCGACCCCCAGATGGTGGCAGCGATGGTCGTCATTGCGACGACGTTCGAGACGTTGGTGACGACTAACCCATTCGCGAGAAAATAGCTGAAAATGAAGTTGAGTGATTCGAGAAGCAGAGTCAGTCCGTAGACCACTGCTAGTATATCCAGCTCGCCAGTCCTCAAGCCGAGTGTACGATCGCCGGGCGGTCTGCGTTGGTTTTCCGGGATGGCCGACCCCATCAAGTCAATAACAAGTTTGAAGACGTTGCGGAGGATCGAAACATATTGAAGTATTGACAGAATTGCCTGATATGGCTCCAGCTCTGATTCATTCAACATCATGAGTGTCGTATATCATGTACTGATGTCTCAATATCTGAGGGGGTGATGATGTTCCTAGATCGGGCGAGCATACACACAGCGCGAAGAGAGGCAGGGTCGGCATTTATACCCAACTACAAGGCAGCCTTGTCCCAGCGATATCCACAAGTCAGCATCTTAATAGCGCATGGAGTCACTGCTCCGCCACACTCGAGACAAACACAGCGAGGAGCGTCTCGGCGTCCCCGAGGCCCGTACCGATCACTGATGAGACACATGCCCAACGCAAGGCGGAATGTCCAGGCAGTCGCTGGGGCGCGTAATCAGCACAGCAGAAAAGCACACCGAAGTGGACTTCAAAGAAGCAGCGAGTGACAAATTTCAGAACAACAGTCATCATCCATTTACGATCCTTACTTCCCCTTGACTTGGGTCAATACCTGCACTCGTATTACTGTTGCTGCGCTAGCTGGGACCATAGACCAATGCGATTATTGAGTGCCGTGCCTCCTCGCCAGCATAATAAACAGGTCTGCATTCTCGTAAATATTGAAGGGCATCTCCGTAGCGACTCGCGACAGGTCGATAGTCATTGATAAACACGACCAAGTAAACGATCGGTTACCCCGTACTACCTCCAACTCTGGCGTAAGTCTGCGCTTTCTCCAGCAAGATCCCGTCTGCAGTGCCTCTACCCGGCCTATGGTCAACACCCTTTATGAGAGTTGAAGTCATTTCAGATATATATCTGCTCACTGGCGCGTCGCAAGCCGTTAGGGCTTTCCCTCTGCCACTTGCTATGACGCTCTTTAGTGCCAGCCCGAGACTAGCACGATCGCGCGGCCATGGAGAAATTCCGCCATCCTCGAGGGCTAAAGCATTCGCTCTTCCATGGCCTGGTAGCGCATTGTACGTAACGATGGGCAGGCCAGACATCATTGCCTCCCAAATAGCCATTCCGCCAGCATTGTGCACCATGACGTCTGAGATGGCGAGGATCTCGGCAATGTCTTGCCGCCAACCCAGGGCGACCACCTGTAAATATGGACGTAGGCGCTTCCGCAGTTTCGCATTCTTCCCACAGAGAACCAAAATCTGAGCTGTGGCTAGTTCCTCGACAATGTCTTGAACAGTTTCGACCACTTTGCCGATCCCCAGTGACCCAGCCGCCAATATGACGATAGGGGTTGTGGAGCAAAGCCCCAGGCTTTTCTTCAGTTTGAAGCACGCGGCATAAGGTGTGGTCTCTCGGAACCGTGGTCCGACCAGTGGGGGAATCACTAGAGCATCGTGTCCATATCTCCTACATGACATCGCCGCGACGCGTGTAGGCACGAGATTCATGCTGACAGAGCGGTGCAGTTGAAGAGGGTGTATTCCTGCATCACAGTGATACGATGCGATCGGTATGTCGTGCTCGGCTCGAACTCGGAGGCTGCCAGCGATCTGGGTAGCAATGGCGTGCGTCGTGACAATGGCCTGCTTGCCTTGTATCCACTCCAGCACTCGAGCGTCCGAAGCGGTCCATAATACCAGGCGAATCATCCACGAGGACTCCACCTCCCAGGCTAGCATAAGCCAGCTGAAGAGTGAAGGAGCAAAAGTGACCAGAGGTGCATATAAATCTCGAAGCATGATTCGGATCAGAAGAGGTAGTGCATCGAGGATATCGTGGTATTCGGTGCTGATGCCATCGCTTTCAAGGCGCCGCTGAAGCTCTAGGCCGGCAGAGGTGTGGCCTGATCCAATGCTTGCCCCGATCACCACTACCTGAGTGGAGAGGAAGGGCTTCGCCTCGATATCATAGTCCTCATAGAGGCGACTGGAGGCCATTCTTAGTGAATTGTCGTAAGGTCCAAATAGCAGTGTACAATTGCGCTCATGCTGAAGGGAACAAAGCGACGCTCACACCGCTGCCGTATATAAAACCGCCATGGACTCATGCTGGCTGATTGTGTTTATCATAAGCAAAAACACCGTCCCTAACGACAAACAAAATCCTTGTTTGCTCGGGATGGGCGCTACGTACTGTCCTCATTCAGATCATCACCATCCTTCCTAAAGTTCTTTGCAGGTTCATGCCAGCGACAGTCCCAGTCTTATCTTGCCTTCAGCACGTTTCGACAAAACCGGAGGCATTTCATATCAGCACCATGACGTGCTGGGTTCGTCAGCCTAGCCACCGTATTTTGCAATGGACACTTGCGTTGCTTCCAGTACTGTCGGCATGTATCGGCCTAGCAACCCTTTTAGCATTATTCCTCGAGTGGGATCTACGCAGTGGCCGCATGCGATACGACACCATGCAGCCAAATCAGAGTATAGCGTACATTTCGGACGTGGCAGCACATAGATTAAAGCCACTGTTTATCATTGGCTCGATCAGTTCCTCCACTCTCTTCAACATCGCCTTCATCTCTCAGAGATGGAGAAGGAATGGATCGTCCGATACTGTGCTCCGCCAGAGGATTCCTACTACGTTAGCCGTGTTACTGGTCCTATCAGGCAGTATCGCGCTATGCTGTCTTGCAGGATTCGACATTGCGCGCTTCCCAAAGCTCCATACTGCATTTCTCATACTATTCATCTTTGGGTATCTCTCATCAGGCCTTTTCGTCTGCCGGGAATACTTTAGACTAGGTAGGAATGCAATGCCACTTTAGAAACACGACTAACAAGTTCTGGGTAGGTCAACATCGAAAGGGGGTCCTGCGCATTTCATTTTACATTAAACAATTCTTGTTCATAGTTGAGATGATCCTCGGGATCGCCTTCATTGCGGCACAGGGCCGATCCGACTTCGATCTCGCGGCTATCTTGGAGTGGATTATAGCGATCCTTTTCTATCTTTATATCATCTCCTTTTCCCTTGACTTAATTCCCGGGAAGCGAGAAGACCAGGCATCCGATTTGCGCGGCTAATGCTGATCATAAGGGGCCTAGAGCTCGACATCAGCACTCGCCGCGGGCATTTCCTCAGTGATCAAAGGCTGTAGGATGAGATCCAGGCTGGCATCAAGAAGAACTTTTCACGAGTAATTGGGAGGGCCTCAGACTGTCTACGGGCAGCCATGATCGCCAATAAGTCATCATGTCTAAGTCTACGGTTCTAATTGCAATAACCAGTGGATCTTGCTCCATTATATGATCTCGCGAAATGCGCCTCCAATTGGTACATTGATTAAGTGGTACAAAATGTGATGTGTGGCCGAAGTCCTTGCGCGATGGAAGATGTTGCTGGATGGGATAGAAGGTCTCAGTGCGCGAGTCATTGAGCATTTGGCTGTCATGATGATTCACGAGATATTGTGTACCACTGCCCAGGCGACTTTGACGAACAGCTGGTCGCTATTCGTATTTGCTCTCGAGACGTCAGGTCGTGACGAGGGCGCGACGGGCTGTGATGGCACGTAGTTCTGGGTGCAAACGATGATATGCTTTTATGACCCGGTGACTGGAGGGCGACCACCTGGCCCAAAGCGCTAGACGACCTCCTGTATCTCAGCCCGGCAGAAGCGGGTCTCATAACATCCGGGACACCGTTGAACATCAAGCGCGTGGAGACTGTGCCCAATCTGCCAAGCGATCGTTCCAGGTATCGTTTCGCGCAGGTCGTTTGGCTGTTCTATCATTGGTTGATGATGTTTGTGGATGATCGAAGCGTTTAACAGCTTTGATCTTGACTCGACGGCGACCAAAGATGGAACGCTCAGGGGTCGCATAAGTATCTGGGAGAGGACAGCGATTTGAGCAATACATACCCTTATGGAGTTATGTCGTAGTCAAAAGGCGGGCAGGTGGACAAACTTTGTCTCAGCCTGATTACATGACTATGGCCTCAAGCCTACGTCGACAGCTAAAACGGGCGAGGGTCGATGATATAACACATGCATTACGTCTGCAATAGTTGCTGTATGACTTGTCCACCCACCACAGCATACGTTTCTGTGCCCACTGTTCGCAGCATTACCATAGGCGTACATACTTCATTTGTTCCATACAACGGCCGACGTCCTTTCTGTTCCTGAGAGACAGTGTTTCAAGAAATGTATGATATACAGTGCGTTACTGACCTTGCCGGAGTGGTGCGCGGTTGCGATCGGCGACAAGTAGCTGATCCACTATAACAGGCTTGGTAGCGCTATCAATAACGATGAGCTGTGATACGCTGCGCTAACCAACGGTGGAGCAGGAGGTTAAGAAGCCCAGTCTAGACGAACCTGACTAACGGTCCGGTTGCGCTATCGTCTAGACGGAGCTGCCTAAGTCATTAAAGCAGCAGGCCTGGCTGTGGAAAAGTTGGAATGTAGGAGGGTGGTCGCAGTACAAGATTGTCTAATCCACATCTCATTCAACAATAATCAAGACGACGACCTTGTGATAAACGCGAACCTCATAGCTGTTAACAAATGGGGTTGTTTAAACAACCCAAATAATATACAAATAGCAACGATAAGATAATGTAATCTTTGTGCAGCTCACGTTACATCGCACGTTCTTACAAGATTTCATGCCTGTTACTACCGTAATGCTTCAATGGATGTGCAAGGGGTCAACACTCGCAGTGTTACATATGTGTCAATACAGAGGAGCGAAAACTCTGTACTAAACGCTTTCCACCCGAATCACAATCAATCCCGCAGCCTCGACTCAATAGACTAGCTCCCCAGATATTCGCGGAGATGTTAGTTCACTTGGCAAAAATCACCATTCTCTTTGCGATGCTAGCAGTATCGATCTGTCATAGTGCCGATGCTCTGCACAGAGTTCCCAGACTCCGTGGCGTCCATGGTATCGCGCGAAGCTCCCAACCATCGCACTGTAATGAGACATTGACAAGCTCCCTATCGCTCTATCTTAACGAAGACTCCCTCAACACTATCCTATCCAGTTTTGTCTCAGATACTTTGAACTCTTCCACCACAGCTTCATTTAGAGGAATGCCTGGCCTAGCAGCATTCGCTAAAAACCGCACGATTCCTGCGGCTCTCAATTCGAGCATCCCTTATCCTTACAGTACTATTGGGACACTTGTTTCCTCAGACGGGAAATCTTTCTGTACAGGAACGTTAGTTGGTCGACGATTGGTGCTTACCGCATCAGGATGTTTGGTGCCAACTATTGTTGGGTTTTATCCCTTTGCTGAGGAGGCTCTTGGGAACCAGTGTAATCCTTATCAAGTAAGCACGAATTATCCTAGTACCTGCCCATATAAATATAAGGTTGAAGGCCGCTCGATGTCTCAGGAGAAAGCTAATGAGTTATGCGTAGCTTGATGGGTATTATAAGGACTTCTTTCCCAAGGACATGAAACCAGAATGCAAGCGGAAAAGTGACTTCGCAATCCTTATCCTTACGGAAGACCTCGGGGATAGACTGGGCTATGTAGATGTGCAGGCCCCAGACGCAGCTCAAGCTCATCTTAACGGATCCTCATTCACAACTTGCGGGCCTCAATTTATGGATCTTAACCAATATAATCGATCAATGCATTGCAGTCCCGACGTGAAGCTCCTCACGCACAGCCCTTCTGGGTGTGGCGGGCTTCTCGATGACGGGCCTGTGTACACTAACGCCGATATGACGGCCGGCACTGGGGAATTAGAGCCGGCTTTGGAGGGTTCAGGCCTGTTCGTCTCTCAAGGTCTGGATGGAGTTGTATATACGGCCATAATAGGGGTTATGAATTCCCCTTACCTTAAAATGTATGAGCCTTATAATACGAATATCGTGAAAAATGGTATCTTTGCATCTGGGAAGAAATTGGTAGACACCGTACAGAAACTTAGGCTATTGTTTGGCTGAATAATAGTAGTGGCGGTTTATCATGCGCAGGATTCTACAAGCCTCTTTCGCTAGATAAAGAATTATAATCGACTAAAACTGATCTAAAACTGGGGGCAACAGAGGTCGCGAAAACGGCATACCCCAAACTATACGCGAAGAAGAAGAGCCTATCCCATGCGCAAGCGTACAGAAATTCGAGTGTCGGTGAAGGGCATGTCTGAAGCTGGAACGTCGAGAAGAGCAGGGATTCACCACACCCGTCCAGCGTCATGTGAAACGTGTTGTGCATGGTGAGCTGGAATCGCCCACTATCAACGAAGCCGCCTTCCGGCGAGGGCAAGCAGATCGTCGCGGTATAGTGTCATGTCGACCCTATCTATAACTATGTCGTGGGGGGATGCCCTTTCTTGGTGCGCATGTCTGCCATGGCCCGATCCTGCAACGTTGTTTGCTGCACTTATCACAAACAGTGGACGCTGTGTTGACAGGTCATCACACGTCCCCGCTCAACTTCACGTCGCGCAATCTACGGCAAGACAGCACTCGACCTGTCCCACGATCTGGCAATAAGGGCTTCAGCCGCTTAACTACATCCAGATCCTGGTCCGTGTCAGAACTAACATAGTACAATCAGAGTTTTCTGGGTTCAGGTTGATGCTTGCTCGAGGTTTGGAATGAATGTATGAAACCTCACTCCTTCGAGCCAATCAGTTCATTGACATGCCACATAAGCTGGAGGCTGCCTGGCCTCACGCTGCATTCGGTGTATCTTATCAGTGGCTAGTAGCACATGTATGATCACATACAGATTGCAAGAGCACTGATTGCCCGCCGCCCACGGCGGCTGCTTGCCGGTCTTCTCGTCACAGGAGCATTGACGTTCACAGTCAGCCTTTGGATACTGATGCAGAATCATTCTACTACTCCGAACGCCGTACAGAGCTTAGGCGACGGGCTACTGGAAGATAGTCCAGTCGGCAAGACAACGCGCTGGGAGCCCGACTCGGCTACAGCGTGGCTAGCACATATTGATATATTGCCGCATTTAACATCTTCGGACCTTGAAACGGCACTGATTTTCGAGGACGATGCGGACTGGGACCTGCGCATCAAAGACCAGATACGGCTCGTTTCAGACAATGTTCGTGCCTTTGGCCGCAGCTACGACAAGACTGGGCACCAGCTGATCAGCTATCTGGACGATAGCACACCTTATGGCACAGGGTGGGACGTACTGTGGGTTAGACCCTCCGGCTCATTGGGCCATAATCTGAATGGTAATGATAAGAATCACAGAAAACCCGTATACTAGTCGACCCAATGGGGCCCACGAATCAGCAATATCATGGATGGGCACGAGATTTTGTTATTAACGAGGTTCCCCCGGGGCGGCGAGCCGGACAAGAGTCTCGCATGACGATATGCAGTTTCGCGTATGCAGTATCACGAAGGGACGCGCACAACTTGTTTAACCTGGCTACAGCTGCAAATGGCGAGGCATTCGACGTGTCGCTGCACGAATAATGCCGCGATGAGAAGCCGAACTGCGTCGTCGTGTCGCCGCAAGTCGTCAATCATAACCGACCGAATGAACGACATAGCTATCTTCGCCCGATTAAGGAGGGAAATAGCAAGGGGAAGTCGAAAGACCAGTCGAATTCGGGGACACACCGGCTCCACGGAGAACATTGTCAAGAGCGCAAGGTGTGAGGCACTATGGGGCCAAAGCCCAATGGCGACGTGAGCAACAGCTTGTCTCAAGCATATGAAACAGCGAATGCCGGATGCTGAGATGAATATGGGGTGGGAGCCTTCGGCAATGCTCGGAGCAGTTCTTCAGGACCATTAAGCATATAGACTACCTAGGTAGGCCGTTGAGTGATTACAGAAACCAGCACATGCTTTTTAAGATTGTATTGTCCGGATGTCATATATTACGTGGTGAACATCGCCTTAACGGCTTGTAGGCACTGAGCAGCTAGGCTTCTTCTCATTCTCTAGGCACGCAGAAGTCTCGCGAGCTTCACTTATAGCTCAACTCTTCATTCACGAAGACGATAGCCCTACGCCATGTGGTGAATCTTGGGGCCAGAAAGGGTTGTAATAATGCTTGAATAGATTTACGAAGAGCTCACACCGGCGGTGTCACATACGTGGCAAGATGGAGGTCCGATATCCTCCAACTCCTAGCGGTTATGATGCCACTACGTCCAGCTATCCTTGGAGGAGGACGTAGGGATGAACACCGTGCGGGAGCCTAGTTCGAACATACCAAAGCTCACATGCCGTCGATGACAATCTTACACCTTCAGTATGTCGTACAGTGGTGACCGCGAACTGTGTCCGCTTTTCAGACTTTAGTTGATGTTCCCGCACGGACCATAAGACTGTGGCGTATTGTGGCGCACACTGTGCAGCCTGTCCCATATCAAGTACCCTCCAAAAGTGGATTACGGCTGTTTCTTCGTCACCCCATCTGTGTAGTGGCCATCACGAATCGTCGGCCAATGTTCGCCATGCCCTTCGCAAGATGACGGTACTGTAAAGTATGACGCGACAAACACAATGCAGAGCATTAAAAGCCATTTTGTGCCTGTCTATAGGAAATACTTGTGAAGTGAATATCTATAGTACTGTGATGACTACTGGATGTGTCCGGCTTTCGAAGTCGGTGGCTGTTTTCGCACGAATCAGCCAGGTGTGGCGTGCTATGGCGTGTTGCCTCTTAATAGTCCACGTCAGAAATAGACAGTATTCCAAGCAGCAGATGGCCTTCATAACGAGGTCGTTCGGTATGCGTCTCCTTTCAGAATTACCTTCCGGCCCTTTCGTTAAGGGGGTGGATGCAGCCAGATTTCATGTACAACAACTCCGGAAAGAGGTCCACTCTCTCTTCAGTTGAGACTTTATGCATGAATAAAGCTGAAACTTGATTATCGTTCTAGATGCGATCCACTCTATGGTGCAGCAGACTCCCCGTGCTTCGTTCTTAAATTTGCATGCTACTCATAGCCTTTGTGAGCCTTTCAATGGATGCATGCCTGCTCATGGTAGTGCCCTTGTTGTGCCCTTGGTTATCGCCATCTGAGACTGGACTGTTGCTGTCCATATTCTCATTACACGATTCGAGTTGTATGTATGCATCCGCTAGCAAATTCACGGAGAGAACGCGCTCAGGGTCGTCCTCGGCATAAATGTGAGCTTCAACAGCAACGACATGCTCGAGCATCTCGATCGCCTCTTCGATCCGTCGGTCGTTGAGGTATGCCCTCGCAAGCATATGCTCCGATGCCAGTCGAGAATGATCCTTCTCGTCCAGTGTCTCCCTCCATATCGCTACCACATGCTCGAACATCTCGATTGCCTCCTTGATCCATCGGTCGTCGAGGTATGCACCCGCAAGCGCGTGCTCCGATGCCAGTCGAGAATGATCCTTCTCGTCCAGTGTCTCCCTCCGTATCGCTACCACATGCTCGAGCATCTTGATTGCCTCCTTAATCCGTCGGTCGTTGAGGTATGCACCCGCAAGCGCGTGCTCCGATGCCAGTCGAGAATAATCCCTCTCGTCTAGCGTCTCCCTCTGCACCGCTACTATATGCTCCAATATCTCGATCGCCTCCTTGATCCGTCGGTCGTTGAGGTATGCGCTCGCGAGCCAACTTTCTATGTGCTCCTTTGATAGCCTTTCCCCTGTATTGCCATTTTTTCCCCAGCGCCACATTTCTTCAAAGCATCGTATTGCTTCTTTAAACCGTCGGTCGATATGCATACATCTCCCAACATGAAACACAAGCTCATATCGGTGTTCTGTTTCCGAAGCCTGAGTGTCATGAAGAAGCCGCATTGCGTGTGGCATACACTGCCGCCACCGCTTACGGTTCTCATGATCGCTTGGAGGAAATATATCGTTGAAGCGACGAATAGCATCATACGCCACCCGTTCATGTCGATCCTGTTTCTTAATCCATTCCCGCGTGGCCATATGCACAAGACTGTGCATATCGAATATATCGTCGTCTCCTCGCCGAGCAAGAAACGAGTAGCCGCAGAGGATGCCGATCGCCCATTCGTTCTCCTCTGACTCAGACCCGGGCATGATCCATTGTGGTATCGCCTTCGGCTCGATACATGCCGTAAACGAGAGCAGATCGACCGCAACTGGATCGGACTTCAGAATCTGTTCAAATGAAACAATCCATGTTGTGGCTATAGCGTTATGCGAGTTCCGATATCTTGTGCTGTCGCGGAATTCTCGACCTAAGAGCCGGACGGCATCTTTCTCGGCCCCACGTAGTAACCCTAGGTATTTACGGATTGGTACCTTGGTCTGATTGAGATATGCTGCTGCCCGGGTGATTGCGAGCGGAAGATAAGTCAGTTGGATAAGGAGATCTTCCAGTAGTGCTTCGTCCTGGGGTGTCTGTCCCTGCGTGAGAGACTTCTGGAGAAGTAGTATTGCCTCGTTCGAGTCCATTTCCTCAATGTCGACTATATTGGACTGCGCAAACTGTACAGCAACAGGTCTCGATCGCGTCGTCAACAGGATTAACCCGTGCTCGCCCTCAGGAAGGTACTCCTCAACACCAGCCTTGTCGTCAGATCCGAAGAATAGCTCCTGGTCGTCAGCGTTATCAACCACGAACAGCCAGTTGCCGCCTTTGTCCGAGCTCAGATATTGGCGAACCAGTTCCTTGATATCTTCGTCGTCGGTCTTCTTCTGGACACCTAGCTTCCTGGCTATCTCGACGTACGCCTGTTCTACGCTGCCATGACTTAGGACTGGTACCCAGAAGATAGAACAGTCGGGCTGGCTAGCTTTGATATCGTAAGCAAACCGTAGCGCAATCTGCGTCTTGCCGATGCCACCTAGACCGACCAGTGCCATTCGTCGGGTTTCTGCTCGCGTGAAGAATGCTTGACTTAATGTTTCCAGGACGGTATTCCGACCAGTGAAGCGGGTGTTCTGAGGAAGCTGGATATAGTAACATGGAAGAGCAGATTCTGCCAATAGTTAGTAGTATTCTAATTAGAGAGATACCAGCCTTTTGTAGCACTTACCGTTTGATCTCATAGCCCTTGTAGTGCCATCTGTACTACTTGTACTTTTAGCAGGAGGTATCTCCCTCAGCACGGCTTTCGCATACGCAGCCGCCATCGCCGCTGCGTACGGCTGCCACTCTTTGTTTTTCTGCTGGTCGCCATAGTCGCACACCCCCCGGATGACTCCTACGGGTATTCGGTTCATCGTCCCTGCCGCCTCCATCTCGAGGCCAATAACCCCGTACTTGTCCCTGAGCTCGTTCCGTCTCTGCGCATTTTTCAATAGCTTGTCTCCCGATCCGATCGGCCCGTACCATACTCGTGTACGGGCTGAGTCTGGTCGTTGGACTCGTTCGACGAGTTCGTCCGGTCTGCCCTCGTTTGTCGAGTAGAGCCTGTCGCGGTCTTGCCCAGGGTCCGTGAAGGTGCCGTTAGCGTGCTCCCGGTCACGGATCTTCTCGTAGTAGGGAAGGAAGATCGCGGCATCGTTTGGTGCTTGGATTTTGATCCTCCCGATTGCCGACCGCACTATCGGCTTCGTCGTGGTCAAGACGTGTCCGTACCGTAGGGGTTGAAATCCGTCGTCGGTCTCTTTGCCGAGATCGTACGCGATGATCCCGGCTCTCTCGCCCTCAGGGAGACTGACCAGCACATCGCCGAGGCGGATATCGCGGGGTGGGTTACAGGATAGGTCTGGCAGTCCCGCCGCGACGCCAACCAGTAGTCCAAACCAGTAATGGGGAAAGCACTTGAGAAACTGGCTTGCGAGTGCTGCCGCCGACCCTGTGCCATACTCCTGGCCAGCTGGGAAAGTCGCTATGACGACATTGTGGCCGCACATGCTACCCGCGTGGAACACGTACTCATCGCCATGATCCACTGCAAATCGGCCTTGGTGTTGCTCGTCGAGCATATATAAGGCGGCCTTGGCTTCGATCTCGAGGGGTGCAATCCAGACGACAGCATAGTCCTTGGGTTCGAGGATAGCTGCGGGATCACCCTGCGATGCCGCCATCCCGTCTAGCCGAGAATGAGGTGGCTTTTAGCGCATAATTGACTGACAGCACTCCCGCCCAGCGTCCGTGCTGACGATTACCTCTGGAAGGCGCCCGAGCACAGCGCTGTGCAGCCTTGGATCCGCTTTGCGATCCTGCCCGAAAGTGGGGTGGGGTCCTCTTTACCCCGCTTTAACACCGCTGAAGACAACCATTCAACGATCCTAGTTCCACGATGAGCTTCGAGGGATCTTCCAACCTCTGGTCCTGGGCCGCAGTAGGAATTGTCCGGAGTCTCTGCGCCGCATGATGATTTGTGTGAGGATTACTTCCTGATAAGCATATGTAGAATAGACATTCACTATCAAAGTATCCTGTACTGTATAAACAGACACAAATTGGCCTTTGATGCTATGTGTTATGTTTGCCACCTCATACTTTGCTGTCAGCTTACGAAGGGTATGGCGAAGATTGGCCGATGATTCGCGA